TAGTTTTTTGTGAAGGGGGTAAATCAACTGTTGCTTTAGTTTCTAGTGCAGGAATTGCAAGCAACTGGATAATTTAATTGTAAATGGAATTGTAAAGTTAAAAGTTCATCAGTATGAACATTGAATTCCAGTTATGTTTACAAATTTCTTTATCCTGTAGGAAATTTTCAGGAACAGGAAATTCCTAGGAAATAATTACAATATGCATAGAACTTAAAAAAAAAAATCATTGTATCATTTCTGCTTATGAAAGAAATTAATTATAATTGAATTTAGAGTATTACTTTTTTCGATTACTTTTTTTATTCTATAATGGATATTTAAAATGGATATTACTCAGTGTGGTGCACAAGTACTTAATGATACGCTAAGCAAGCTACAATTACTCTCCTAAATATTTTCCTATGTGCAGTCGTATCTGGTTTTAGCTGCAAGGTAGATCATAGTCTGGAAGCTGGGGAAAAAAAAAGGAGAAAAATGGAAACTTGCACATTCAGGACAAAGTTAAAATAATATGGAGAGAAGATGAATGTCCAGGGATCTACTAGGAAATGAAAGTTAAAGTCATCTGGTTCTTTGTGCTCTGGAGATGTTGATTTATATCATGACCAGTGAGGTTGACAAGTGCAAACTTTTGCAATAGCAAAAGATTTCCTGAAAGGTCAGTGTGTTCTCTTTATTGTGAAATGGAAGGCAAGAAGAGTTAAAATAAAACCAGAGGGAGAGAAAAAGGACTTTTCCATGCTGGAGATGTAGGAGAGGTACATAGGAGCCAGGTAGTCCCTGCCCCCAAGGTGCCTATACCTGGTGAGCCTGCACCACAAGGCTCTGCCCTAGATATTTTTGGAGTGTCTTTGAGAAGGAGGTCCTGAGCCTGGCTTTATGGGCAGACACCACACCAGAGTGGATTAGATAATTCCTTGTCCAAGACCAAGGGGAGAGGAAGGAAGAGCCTGGGAGTGGAGTCTGGGGTCACTCACAGTTCCTGTGGGACAGAGGACACCTCAGCCCAGGTGAGGTGTCACCTTGTCCAGCACTATCCTTTTCTTATGCGTTAAGTCCCATCAGGTTTCAAGTTCAGAGTCTGCAGGAAGATGTCCCCAGAGTCAGGAAATACCTGTCTGTGCCCAGAAGAGCACTGGAACCATCTGCTGCTCGCAGCTCCAGCTGATGTCCTAAAGGCCTCTGAACATTTTGCCTGCTGGTGTTTCACAGGCAGACAGAAAATCCTGCAGGATTCAGTCTTTGGTGCCTGGGGACGTGCTTCCATGATTCATTCTGTGTCTGAGCTGCAGATAAACACATTCAGGCTTCTGTATGGAAAAATAGCTGGTTCTCTCCTGGCATTTCTTCAAAAGCTGTGTATTGAAACTCTGTTCCCAGAGGCTGTTTCATATTCACTCTGCCACTGGAACAGCACTGCACCCTCTGCTCCTGCTGCAAAGATTTGGGATGCCTGGAATCAATGAGCTATAATCAGTGTGGGCAAGCAAGAAAGTGTGGGACTTTTATCATCTTCTGTGGCCACCAGCCTGTGGTCCTGTCATTGGGCTTCTCTCAGCAAAACCAGAAACTGAGGGGGAAAAGGGGGGAATTTTCTCACATGCAATGCAGACATGTCTGCAAAATCCCAACACAACTTCATTTCAAATTTCTCCATACTGGTACATTCTCCAGCTCCTGATGTTCAGGTGCTTTTATGAAGACAATTTCCTCTCCAGCTCTTACTGTGTGTACTTGTAGTCACTAGTCCTGAGTAAATACAAGCAGAATTCAGGTGCTGAGGAGATATCCTGGTACTCAGTGTTGGGCTGTGGGTAGTGGGGTTTGTGTTCTGAGTATCTATGGACCACCCAGTTCCCTGAGAGCACGCAGTAAACCTCCCTCAAAGCCTGTCTGGGCTCGTTTTGGCCTAGGGAATACTTGTATATAGTAGTGGTTTCCTTTGTTTTTGTTTTGATGGTGATTATTATTTTTCCTGAATTAGGGCTATTGAGATAAATATTTAATTTCTAATGTTGTATTTTGTACATATCTGAAGCAGCACCTTAAACCTCAGTGTTACTCTCTCATTAACTTTTTTTTTAAAGAGGAAAGCAGACATTTTCAATACTTGGCAAAGCCACAGGGCTGAGGAGAGAACTGGCTGGGAAATTGGAAAAATGCTCAAATCTTTTTTGAAAAAATGCCAATGTCTATAATGCATTTTCAGTGAATGACTCAATTGGTTCTATTAAAGGAAAATATATAATGTTAATTCAGCCTAATATGGCTTATTCAACAGACAGCTTGAACCTCTTCCTATTTTGCTTTCTTACTGCTAATTATTGAATGGGATGTTTATTTATTGATTTCCAGTAGTGGATAACAGTATAAATCAGGAGCACTTCCTTTGAATTTGATGGTGATTTGTTTAAAATTAAGAAGGGTCAGACTCTTCTTAAGGAGGAAGAAGGGAGGTACAAGTCAGTCAGAAAGAGACAGAATTTGATTGTGTATCTGAAATGGGTCATTGTTTAATTTGTGTGCATTTGAGCACATTTGCATTTGTCCTTCTATGCATATTCAGCCTCAACCTCTAGATTTGCCTTTAATAAAATATAGGAAAGTGTGGTGCAAATTTATTCTGCTTTGTCTGGAGAGAAAAGAATAATATCATGGTATTTATTGACTTTACAGTCATAAAGTGGTATTTATTGACTTTGCAGCTCTTTTAAGAGAAAAAAAATAAATTCTGCAGTTAAGTTTAGATGCTAAGGTTAGATACCACACAGCCTGGCTGAGAACAGGGAGTACCTTCTGCTGAAAGAATCAGAACGTGACCCACTGTCCATACAACAGTTAAAATGCAACATCCTTGTGTTACCTTGGAAAGCAAAATAGACATTGTTTTGAAGTTTTGTTTACAAATCCTTTTTCAGATTGAAGATTGCTTCTCTTTTACTTGCTGCCTCTCATTTAATATAGATGTATCATATGTAAAAGGAAGAAAATGGATACACAGGTGCAGGGATCACTGGGAATCTTAGATGTGTGTACATAAAGGGGTGTGATGGGGTCTTGGGTGAATATCTGTATAATGCAGTCAGGGAGTAAGAGCTACAAAGTGTGCATCATCCCTAAGGAAAATAGCCTGCAAAATTCCATGGAGGTGGGAGGGACATCCAGGTGGGACATGCCCTGAGGTCACCCCGAGACCCGACTCCAGTAGAGATCAGCCTCTCCTTCACCTCTCCTGGGAGACTCCTGCTCGTTTTTACCCTCTCAGAACTCCGCTCCTTCCCTGTCTCTGTCAGCAAGAGCTGCTGGCTGGGGAAGGTCATGGCATCCTCTCCACTGGAGGATTTTAAGGGCACATTGGATTAGGACCTCTCAGATGAGAACTGAGCCTAACTTGGTGCAGCGGGCAGGGACTAGCTGACCTGTCAAAGGCCCTCCCAAGCCCATTTTGTCATCACGCAAGTATGGAGGAGGACAAAACCTGAGGAAGAAAAATGTGCTGCAGCAAGTAGCACCTGGGGGAGTGCAGGGTTGCCTGTGTGGTGGGGAGAGCAGGAGGTGCTGGCAGGAGCCCCTCGGTGACGGGCAGGGGACACAGCCAGAGCAGGGAGGAGCCAGCCAAGGACTGCAGTAACACATTCCATGATCTCAGAGAGAGAGGAAACAAGGACGTGGGTCATTAGTCAAAGCAGCACGTCAGGTCAAGGGTAGGAGAGGCTTGGTTTTAATTTATTTCAAAAAATAAATAACAAGAAGGCAAACCCAGTGCATTTCATAACCTAGGAGAAAGGAGAACATTGAGGGGAAGGGAATACAGCAAGGGGCTGCAAAACTAGAGCAGGATTGTGGAGGAGATTTGGACATTGGTCAGAGGCTAAAAGTAAATAGTAAAAATTTGCTGTTTGAAAGGGAGGAAAGGAAATTATTTCAGGAGATAAAAGGAAAGCCAGAGAGAGGGTAGGAGAAAAGCTTGACATAAAAAATCAGGCTAAGTCATCCACTTCAGTAGCTTTCTTTTAGCTACAACTTAACATGTGAGATCCTGTGTGTTGAGATAGGTCAGGAGGGGAAGTAGCTTCTGGGTTTTGTGGTGTGGGACAGGTGAGATTTGCATGCATTTGACAGTAAGTCAAGGCATTTGGCTCAAAGAAATGGCAGAGAGACTAAAGGGACTTCAGAGTCTGCCAGCTGCAGACAAAAGTGATGGGAAGTGAATGTTGGATGAGCCAAGGATTGTGGATAGTCCAGCAGACTTCTGAGTCAAAATGCTGGACAGCACAACCCGAGTGAGGAAGATGAAAGCACAGCAGAGGGAGGAGGAGGCTGAGAACAGATCAGTCATCCTTGCTGAAAGACTGGGAGTCATGGAGAGGGTGAAGGACGGGGTGAGTGATAAGGGCTGATGTTGAAATAAACCATGTGATGTGTCTTAGTGTTAAAATGGGCGTTTCTATCATCGTCATTTCAGTTAATGCAAGCCCAAAGTGCTTCTGGTTCTCACCATGACCTGGGCACTTCCCAAGCCCCCAATTCCACATCACCAGAGTGCTTTGCTATCTCTGAGCTAATTATCTGTACAGCAGTATGGGTGGTAAGGAATTTCTATTCTGTAGGTAGTGAACTGAGGCATAAAGCAGAAGAGTATTTTCTTGCCGTCCTGCTACAAGTGGAGGTGGGACTTGAAGCCAAGGTTATCCAGTCCTCTACTAGTATCTTAAACACTGACTCATCCTTCCTCTGATCTCCTTCCTTGAGCAGGAGCCACCTTCAAATCAAACTTTCCATGGAGAAATAAAGGGTTTTGGCATATTCTAATGGTTTGTTTAGTGATGCAGAAAAGAATAAAATCGTATGTTACTTTTGACATTTTTATTATTGGGAAAAAATTAAGCCATAACTCTGTATCTGCTGGTTGATGCAGAGGGTTATTGGAGAAGAGACTAACAGGGTTGCTGGTGGGAGTGTGGCCTTTCCCTGATGTGCTGTGATGTGTTTTCCAGATAAACCGTGGGAGCTGGTGTCCGCTGGAGCCATGTCCCGACCCCTCCGGGCTGGAGCGCAAGCGCACGCGGGACTCTGCAGGTGAGCCCTGTGCTGAGGGCAGCTCCACACCAGCAGCTCTCCTCCTCACCTTTGCTATCCCTCCTTCCCTCCCTGCTGTTGACATCCTGGCCTGGATGGGGAAAACACATAAATTAAAGAAACTGTGCAATGACTGTGCTGTGAGTCATTGTTAGCACATGGCTGCAGCACTTGACTAGCAGGGAGCTGTGTAGTGTGTCACCATCTCAAATAACTCTGCATTTCAAGTGCTTCAGTATCTTGATTTCCCCCCCACTTTTTTTTTTCTAAATAAACTTGAAAGATACTGAGAGGAGCACCCAGACATGGTTTCTAGCTAAAGGGATAATACCATAAAAGAAAAAAGCCAGAAATTTGAACTCCTAAATCCAGATTTAAACCCAAATGAGTGGCTTGAGATTTTTTTTTTTTTTTCTCCCCGTCTGAAAGTTGCCATGATTCCAGGCTGGGGAAGCAGGAAGGCTGTTCAGAGCCATGGTTCACACACCCTGCCCACCCCCTGTGCCAAGCTCCCATCCCAGCCCTGCATGCTGGCTGGTGCTTTCTGGCTCTTCCACTGGGACAGAAAATATAGTCTGGGCAAGCTTCAAAGAAGGGTTGGTGTCCAAGATTAAAAAAAAAGGCATTTCCTTTCACTGGATTATGCATGTTTGAAACAAATAGAGTAATTTATCAGGCCCCTGAACAGGGACTTTGCTTAGGCTGCTCATGGAGAGGAGGCTTCTTGCCCTGCTGTCCTTACGAGCAGTGGTCTCACCCAAATCTCCTTCAATTTATCTGAGACTTGAAAGAAAATGACTGAGTGTCAGTGTGAAATTTAAACTCAAGTCTGTCAGACTGTAGGCTAAGAAGGGATAGTGTGGGTTAGTGACCTGAGGGATTTATCCTAAACAGAAGTTCTAGCTCACTCAAAGTTCAGTAAGTGCTTTTTTATTACAAACAGACAAACAAACAAAAATACTGCCCTTTATAGAAAAGTCTTCAACAGCAGTTGCTGTTTCAAGAGTAATTATGCAAGAGAACCTGTGATAATGCTGTGTCTCTTCTTTACCAATTGTATCTGTGAATCCTTTGCCTCTTGGTACAGTATTTTTATGCTTCGGGCAATAGTTACTGCAAACCATTTGTCTGCTAAACTACACGGGCTCATTTGACTTGCCAAATATATTATCACATATTCCTATGGGTCACTATCAGCTGCACACCTATTAATTATCTAATGCAATATTACATTATAGAAACACAATATTAACTATGTAATTAGATAGCTGTATATACAAATTTGTATTAATAATTATAGTAATACATGTCTGTAACACATGCATAAAGAGATAGTTTTTTAAGTAAATGTGCTCTCAAGATGGACTGAAGCAGCAGAAGGATCTCAGGTTATGCAAGTTCTGGCCTTCCTAGAAATAATATTGTTACTGTACAGGCATCTTCCTGCTGCAATAAAACCACAAGCTGTCTATATAGCTAACTTAAAAATACAGTACTTAATAAGGAATTAGGCCTTTTTCATCTGCTGAAATGACCTGCAAGGACAGAGACCTCAGATCTTAGAAGGTAACTCCAGAAACTGGAGCTTCTCATTTTCTGCCAATGCTTTTGAAATTAGATGTGCAGAGAAGTAGCAGATACATAGTTATCAGCATGGAATTGAAGGGCTCAGCCCTGGTTTGGAGGACACAGAAGTTTGGAAAATGCACAGAAGATATTGCTTGGAAATGTTCTTTCTCGAGCTTTTTTCTCTGTTTTTTTTTATTTTTTGCCTTTGTATTTTGCACAGAAGTGTTGCCAGGGGTGTGAGACACAGAGCCTGGCTTTGTGCAGCGTCTGTGCAATTCAAAACAAACCCAGCGAAATGAGAAAAGGGGAGGGAGAAAATAGAGAAAATATGCACACCTCTGACCAAAAGTGAAGGAGAGTGTAGGGAAGAGAGGGAAGAAATGAGATGAGGTGTGTGGAGGGGTCCCCATCACGCTGCTCCTCATCCTTTTTCCTCTCTGCTGCATCTCCTCTGCCCCTGGCAGGCTCCTCCCGAGGAGGCTGTGCTGCCTCTTGCTTTATCCTCAGGGTATCCATCCACATCTGAGCTGTCCCCACTGATTTTCCAGTGGAACGTGGCTGGAGCCCCTTTGCTTTTCAGTCTGGGCTGTGGACATGCTGTGCTGGCTGCCAGCTGGATGAACAGCACCTGGCCCACGTCCCCACAGCCGCTCCGTCTCTTCTTTCCCTTCATTCCCCCCCTTCTTCTCTCCCCCTCGGTGATGGAAAAGCAGTTCAGATTTTCCAGGTTTACTGAAAGGGGAACAGGAGCAGCTGCAGCATCCAATAAGTGCTTTTCCAATTCTCCACAGCGTGGAAATTCCTCTATGGGGTAATGGGGTTTCCAACTGGCTTCATCTCCCCCTGCCCTAAATGGGGTCAGCCCCACCACTATCAATTAATGCTCTTTTCTCCACAAGTGGAATCACTGCCATCAGTTGGGATGTGGCCAAGGTGTTCCATAGCTGCTGTCAGGCACAGATTAAGGATGGGGAAGGCAAAGAGGTGACCTTAAGCTACCAAACTACCAAACCTGTCATTCTTTCAGTGATGTTTAAGCTTGATATCACCAAGGATGCAGATAGTTATAATTTAAGAGTGAACTAATATTTTATTGCCCTGACTCTTCTCCAGACAGCTGAGCACATTTTGGATGTGTTTAGTTAGAAGTGCAAAATAGCACTTTTCTTAAAAAAAAAAAAAAAAAAAAAAAAATCCAAAACCAAACAAAACAACAACAACAACACAAATCCAAACAAACAAACAAAACAAAACACCCCAAAAAACTAAACCAACAACCTAACTAATAATTAGAAAATATTTTTAACCGGGAAATTTGAATGTTCAGTTTTTGCCAAAATTATTATTTATACTTTTGCCTGAAGGGTGAACAAATAAAATACGTACAGACATTTCTTAGGCAAATACTTGTTGGTCAAAGGTTTTGGAAAGAGGGCTTTTGAAGGGGCTGCAGTTCTCTACTCCTGATTAACCCAGTGGAAACAGCTGGAAGCATTTGAGAAAAAAAGAGATGCAACATGCTTGCTTATATTTCAATGTCAGGAGTTACGAAAGCTGAGACTTTAAAAAAAATCACTTAATTTTTGAATCTTGAAAAAGTAAAGGTTGTAATGGAATTTACACTAGTGCTTTTTCAGTTAGTAGTGTAGAAAAGATTAAATAATGGTCCAAATACGCACTAAAAGCACCTTGGCATTTAGAGGGAATTGATTATTTGAGAAAGAAAGCAAATATTGGCAAGTTATATTTTTATATTTATTGGATATTAAGCTAATTTTGCATTTGTTGCAATAGATAGAAAACATCCCACGTGCACTGTATGGGATACCTCATGTAGTATATTTATCAGCGCCTCAAGCTACAAGTGTTTACAGCTGTTTTATGCAGAATTTCAGTTTGCACCATGTACTTCAGTGCTGCACTTAAAAATGAGCTTTAAACTGGAATAAATAATTGGAGAATTCACAGGCAGTTTTGAGAGGTAAACAAAAGTATAAAGCTGTATTTGTAAAGCTGTGTGTTTTAAATGCTGGAATTCACTGGGAGGATGCGAGTGTGATGTGTGGATGCTGCAGAAAGCCTCAGGTTGTGACTCTTTGTGCTTCACTCCTGCAGAATGTGAGAACTTCTTGGAGGATGGGCTGAGCAGCGTCTGTGCCTCGTCACAGGGTGGTCTTAAAAGAGAGTCTGGGAGTGAGTCTGACCTCTTCCCCTTGCCTGGTGATGGGATGGAAGACCTTGTCTTTGGGAAGGTAAGAAAGCCTGGTTGGGATATGGTTAAAAAAGCCCCTGATAAACCCTCAAAGCACACACAGATCATCTTGGTTTCACTGGTGAGTTGGAAACCTGGAAGTGATTATCCTGGAACGGAATAAATGGGAAGGATCTGGTTGTCTCCTCGGATGCAGCAACATGAGGGATGTATTTACTTGCAGCAGAATTCCAAAAGCTGTGCAGCCCCCAATGATTTAAAAAAAAAAAAAAAAAAAAGAAAGTAATTTTGTCTGTCCAAAAGTAAATCAGGCACCAGAGGAAGAGTTGAAAAGGTGGATTTTCTTGCAAGGTCATTAGGGATTGCACAGACGATATGAAATTCATCTTTAACTCATGTAACAAAGAGCTTTTCTCCAGTAAACTGTGACCTCTGTGCTGATACCTTCAGATTTATATGCTGTAATTCTCAGAGGAACCAGTGTTTTTCTGTAAATTCAGTGTCATAGGAAGGAAACACTCATTCTAAATACTTCAGGCCAATTCCAGGGAATAGTTTTGTTGCCTAGGCGACATACCTCTAATGCCTGTTTGCGTGCAAGTAGAATGAAAGTGTTTTCAAGTTTGCTTAAAATCAACAACAGAAGTCATTGCTAACCTTAGTCATCCCTGTACCCTTTGTGTTGCTGAGGAGTGGGAGAGACCTGAGAGGCAGAGCTGGCCTCCTGAGCAGAGGATGTGCCTCCCTTTTGGCATCAGTCTTTTGCATCTACGTCAGGGCAGCCTGAATTTGTTCAGGGGGTCATTAGGATTTTTCTCTTGAAGAATTGTCTTGCTGTAATCTGTACTCTTCTTGGCATAAACAGATGATGAAAAAGATGATGTAGAATCAAAAGGGATGTGACCCTTCTTTAGAGAAGCCATCACTGTGGTCTCCATGAAATCCCACTCTTCGGTTCAGCTCACAGGTTTGAGCAGGCACAGGTCCTGCTCTGAAAAATGTAACTCTCAGAGTAGCTTTCACACTGGTTTTCTGAGAAATGTATTGATGGAAACAGAATTGTGTTTGCTGAAATCAAATCAGATGGTGGTGACTATTTTCCAGCAGGATGGGAAACACCACAGCCCAGGCTACGTGATCTCATGTGCTATAAATGAACAGTAAAGTCATCCTTAATGCACGTGGCAGGGCACGGAGCTCACCAGCCTCGCCCTTTCCCATCCTACTGTCAGAAGGATCTGGGGCCCTGGACTGTCACAGTACAAGGCTGTTTGGCAGAGCAGGCTGTCTTCAGTTCCCTTGTGTGGAGTGACAGGGACTGTGACAGGCAGCTGCCATTTGAGCCTGATTTAATGCTTGTATGGGGAAGCGTGGGAGAAAGTGCACTGGGAACACAGCAGATTTTGTATTATAGAGAATTTTAGCTTTTCCCCTTTCTTATGTGGAAAGTTTCCTTCTTCAAATAGGAGAAAGAAAGATTAAAATGTAAGCAGAGTAGGTAGTGCAGTGTAGCAGGGATGCCATAGGGAAGGGAGGAGGTGGTGGGGAAGGCAGGTCTTCAATTTCCAGGGGAGAGAGGGCAGAGGCAGGAATGCTTTTCTTTGTAGAAAGGTAATTCCTTAATTTAGAAGCCTTTGCATTGTTCTCATTATGCAGTGGGTTGCAGACTTTGTCTTCAAATGGCTTCAAAAGGTTCCTGAGTTGAGTTTAGGAAGTTATTCAAAACTAATCTCAACCTTAGTTGCTTTGACTGTTTTCCTGACCAATTTGATTCCTTGTCTCCTTTCTCAGGATTTATCTGAGTATTTTTTCTACAGTTGAAGTTATTTCTAAAGGACCAGAAAAACTAATTTAGAATTGTGAGCTTGTTCCTTAATTAAATCTTTTTTGGCTTTACAGTACTGAATCCAGGTGGTAGAAATACGAATTATAGATATTTTTTAATAGGCACCAAAACAAATGGTGGCTATAGTCTTTTGTCCAAAAAATAGCATAAGGTGCTTGTCTTGGCTGTAGTTGATTATTTATAAACCTATGAAATAGTTTCTGTATCAAATTGGGAAGAGACAGAATATGTTTATGAACAAAAAGAGGATCTCAAACGTTTCGGTGTCATGGTGATTATTGTTATTACTACTTCTGTTCTTGTTTCCCCTTTCTGTGGAGCAAGAGCTGAACTTTAGTCTTCTAGAATTGTTTGCTTTTTTTGTTTATTTATTGAGTTATTTATCTTTGTTAACTGTTTAATGCATTATAATAAATGTAGGGAGAACAAGTTGCTGTCTGTGCAAGGTCTTTGGGCTGCTTCCACTTGAAATGCATTGACTGAAGGCTCTGGTTCTGTCCCAGGACCACGAAGAATTGGGATCTGTCTCCTGTGCTTGTTTCATTTCTTTCTCTCTCTGAAAGACGTGTGCTGAGCTGTGGAACATGAGCTGTCGGATTGAGAGAGCTTTAGCACTAAAACCTACCCCTTTTTTCAGACTATACAGCCCATCACTGAGATTCAGAAGTTGCTTCCAAGTCTATGGCTTCAGCAAAATGTTTATTTATTTATTTATTTTCACGTCAGCACTTCCATTCCCATGTCCTCATCGTTTCTGTCCCAGACAGCCATCTGGGCAGGCTTTGCAGCATCCTCCTTCTGGGATGATTAATGCTGCATAAGGTCATTTCTCACAATCATCTGGCAGCATCCTGAGGTGGAGCCCATACGCTTTGTTCATCTTAACTTTCAACCAGCCACCAAAGTCCAGCATTGCTGGGAAGCTTTTTAATGTGCCTCTTGGGAAATGATTCAGATGAAGGGAGTCAGGAACGCACAGATCGTTGTCAAAGGAAGGGGTTGCATCTCAGACTCTTGAATATTGTTTATTTTCTGCCTTTGTTTTGGTTTGCTCAAAGAAAATGCACAAATGCATAAATGTTTTGCATTTATTTTTTCGGAGTTGTTGTAGCTCTTAAAAAAAGCAAACAAAAAAAAAAAACCCAACAGCTGTGCAAAAAAACAAAAACAAAAACATCCAAAAAAAACCCAAAAGGAATAAAAATTTTCAGGGAAAAGCTTTCACCTCCACTCCAAATCATAGAAGTTATGATAAATAATTAATAGAAGGCCACTTCTATTGAGGTTCATTTTAGGGAACCTGGAACCAATAGGCAAACCCAAATTAAAAAAATACTCTGCTGGATTATATATCAAGCTAACTAAAGGTGTTGACTCCTTTAGTGGAATGGTATTCCAAATAAACTTCAGGATTCCAAGGTTTAATTTTTTTCATCTTCTTTTTTAAAATACTCTAACACCTTTAATGTCTTTGAAGGTCAGGGGACAGTGAAAGTTTGTGTCTCAGCACTTTGCATGCTGTCATCATGGAACTGATTGAAAGAACTTTTGAATTCCCCTTATCAAGACCACCTACAGTGGAGGGATTTAGTTGAAGAAGTTATCTTATACCCCCACCATCCCAGTGATTTCTGTTATTCATGGAGAAGTACATGTGTCCTTTCTTTTTCTTAGAAGCTTCTCAGCAAATACTGAGGGCAAAGAAAATGCCTATTAGCAAATGTCTGTCAAGGCTCTTTTTGGCCACAGTTTATGGTCACAGTTAAGTCCTGAATTCATTGAAGTGCAATCCAGCACGCCTAACTTGAAGAAAATTAGTATTTCTGTAATGTTTCCTTTTTTCTGTAAGATTAGAACACATTCTGTTCTGCAAACATTGTATTTTCTTACTCAAATAGGATTAAAGAGCAATGCATATTTACTGGCCAGACAGCTAATTTTTTGCAGTGGTGACAACAATATAGATGTTTCAGATGTGTCAGCCGCACTTGGCATTTTTCAGACAGAGTAGTCTTTCATATTAACTGTTTTCCTTTGTTTAAAAAAAAATCATGGAAATGACGACAGAATATTTTTAGAAGAATAAGCATGGGCCACAAGTTCAAGGGAATTGTTCATTGTGTTCTGTTGTCAGTCGAATGCTCAAGGTAAAAGTTAAAATGGATCAAATGTATTTCCCTTTTTTCAAACATCTCCTTGAATGGTATTCTGTGATAAAAGCCCTAAATCTTCCTTGTTAGGGAAGTGGGTTTTGTTGCGTATTTCAAACTGCAGCAGTATTCTTGTCTGGGAAATAAAAACTCCTTTTTACTCTAATTCCTCTCTATTTAATATGGTGTTCTGCACTATTGTTTCTAGATTTGCATCCAGATTGAAAGTTTCTGACCTGTCCCATACTTTACACAGCTGATGGGGTGAAGTCAGTCCTCTCCTCTCCTGCTCTGCTGCCCCAATCCCAGAATCACAGAATGGTTTGGGTTGGAAGGGACCTTAAAGCTCATCTTCCGCTATACCAGGTTGCTCCAGAGCCCCATCCAGTCTGATCTAATGCCTGACAGTATTTTTCTGTCTTAGAAAAGTGGCAGACTGTTTCCTCCACTGTAGGAGGGTTACCCACGTAATGACTACTTGATTTGTCTGTATTTAAGCAATTCAGCAAGCTCTCATCATGACTCACACAAATATCAGATTATCTTGAATACTGCTGAACATCATCATAAACTTCTCAGGGCTTCCATTTCAGCTCTCTTTTCTTTAAACCTCAGCTTCCTATTCAAATGTATCAAATACAACTGTTCCTATTCAAATGTATCAAATACAACACTAGTTTATAGAACTTAGTTTTCTGAAATTCACTATTAATGTTTGACATACCTTAACATGAAGTGAATGTTTTTGGAGGGATGTATTTTTAGTGTGGTTTTTAATGCTTTGTGTTTAAAAGGTTCTTGTATTTTGGTGTTGTGCTGTAGATGCTGTCTTTTTTTTTTTTTTGTCCTGTGTTTCCCTTTGGTGGATGTGAGAAGGGAAGCAGTGTGACAACGTTTAATTAAACCACCTCAGGAACATTATTGTGTATCTGTTACACTGGACTAAGAGTAAAAAATAGCTAAGCTTGAAAGAGGGATTCTCTCTGAATAGTGAAATGTTAGATTATAAGATATATTGAATATCTCAATTTCTTTCTGTTCAATTAAATAAAAAGCTTATAGTGTGTGCCCCTCAAATAGAGCACAGAAAAACAAAAGTCTCTGGACTGTTTAACACCACTCCTGCTCATCCTTCCCTCCATGTGGTCTGCTGCCCATCTTTCCCTTCCAAGAACTGGATTTTGCATCCAGTTGTCTTCTGCCAAAAGCCTTGACAGCCTGCAGCCCCTGGGGCACTCAGCTCCTGCCCAGCCCCTGAGCCCACTGTGTGAGGACCATTAACCACCAGGGCTTTGCTGACTGCTCTGTGCTGTGTGGCCTGACAGAGCACTCTGCCTGTTATTATTTGAAATGATACAGCACAGGGCTTTGCAGCAGGATAAATTGAAACTTCCCATGTCAGTCCCTCAGGGCAAACACCATTTCAGACTGGAGGTGATGTCAGAGAGGTGCTTGTGTTTTTTATAGTGGCCCCAGGGAATGAGGGCTCTTCTGGGGCTGTATGGTCAGCATGTGGCCTTTGGCCAGAGAGAACCAGTTTGGCTTCCACATACTGCTTTTGGAGCAAACTAAACCCAAAAATTACAGTATGACTCAAAATCTCTAATACAGGGCAGCTGTTCCTGTAGAACAATATTTTTCAATGACAGTTGGATTTAAAAAATGCTGCAAACCCTGTTATTAGTTTTCTGCTTAATGGAAAGTAGCTGTGGATGGAGAATTAAGCTTATATTTTTTTTCTGTCTGTTTTCTGCTGCTGAGTAATTCTCCTTTTTGTGTTGCATGGTGCAGTGGAACAGTGTGTTGCCCTTGAGCTCTACAAGCCCATCCCAGCTCCACAGGAGAGGCTGGAGTTTGTCATCAGGAGTTGTGATAACCCCCTTCCCCATTACTTGCTCTCAGTAAACCTTTGGCAGTTTTATGGCACCTTGATTGATAACAGGTTTAGCCAGAAATGGTGAGAGGAACAGGATTTGCTGTGCAAGATGAAATATAGAACTGGGGATAGGAAGGCAGGCAGAGGATCTGAACTGGGAGCCTGGCTAATGGCAGCCAGGGACATGTGGGTGGAAGAGATCACCCTGCAGAGCATTTCAGCCTCTTCTGAAACCACAGCAAAAAGTCTCACTTCTACGATGGTTAATTTGCCTTATGTCACTGACTAAGAAATATCTGAGCTCATGTGAAATTCAAACTATTTGAATTTATTTTAAATGTTACATGTATTCATATAACATTTCATGAAACATAACTTCATTGGAAGTGTTCACGGCCAGGCTGGACGGGTCTTTGAACAGCCTGATCTAGGGAACAATGTCCTTGCTCACAGCAGAGGTGTTGGATTAGCTGATCTTTAGAGGTCCCTTCCAACCCAAACCAGTCCATGATTCTTCTTTAACTGACTTTTAATTTTTCTTACCCCAGCAGGCTGAAGAGGAGCAATCTGCATGCGATGTCACCAGCTCCAGCTCCTCTGCAGACGACACCGTGTCCCTGGAGAGGAACTCATCCCTGGGCAGTGACACGTCCCTCCCCTTCCCACCCGTGGGGAGCTTCACCCAGCCCAAGGACAGGCACAGCCTGGATGGCAGCTGCACCAACATGGTGCCCTCAGAGGGAGGAGAGAAGGAAGAGGAGCTGGACAGCATCACGGACGTGCCCGCTCCTTCCTCCGTCCTGCGCAGCTCCATGCGGCCGCTGTCTCCCTTCCGCCGCCACAGCTGGGGGCCGGGCAAGAACGCCACCAACGAGGCAGAAATCAATCAGAGGAGGTGAGTGAAGAGCTGCTTTCATTTACTCTGCACCCACTCATGCATATTTATCTGTGCTTTAACCTGGCGTGATAAAACTGAAGAGTTTATCACGTCACTTTTGATTATTTCTTTTTCATTTTGAAGAGGTTAAGACAATCTCTTAATGTATGTTTGTTTGGTTTTTCTTAAATTGACTTTCAGGATTAAAGTACTTAATACCTACAGTATGCTTGAGCTGTCCAGAGTAAATGGAATTACCTCGGGATAGGTCTTCCATTAGAACTGTCATCACCCCTTTCTGTACAAAGGAATTATTGGAGTGTTAAATTTCACTGACCACAGAATAAACATGACCATCATTGCTCTGATTGTATTAAGGGATAACACAGGCACCAGGATTCAAAAAAATTCTGTGGAAGCTCTTCATAATGGTGAGATACCTTACTCATCACTGATGTTCCTGGTGTTGTTCAGGAAGATTCAAAAGAGAAATTTTCCCATCTGTTCTTTCAAAAGATACAAGGGGCAGAGGTGTACGAGCCATGTGAGTGTGTCCGTGCTGGTGCCAAGTGACTGTGGGAAGAAAAGTTGCTCATTCCCCCATTTCAGCAGGGAAGAAGATGAAATAAAAGAAGTTGCACACCAAAAAGTAGTAATTGGTGTGAGGTTCCCTGCCATGCCCTGCACTGTTCAGCATTTGGCCTGCAGGATGCCTGGGGCCAAACTCTGTGCATGCTGAGCCCAGTGGAGGTTTGGCCAGTGTTTCTAATGTGCTTTCATGCTCTGAGAGCAGGAATGGGTTGCTTTAGCAGGGTCAGGGTGCCATACCCTCCCTGCAGCTCACAGAGGCTGCAGGCCCATGTGTGCAGGGCAGTGCCACTCTCTGGCTGCCCGTTCTGTCCTCACGGCAAAAGTTCTGCTGTTAGCAGAAACAGCCATTGCATGTGTGGCTGGATGGAATTAAATTAAAACTGGCCACTCACAATGGGTTCCTGAGAATTCTGACTACTTTGGATAATCCAGGGAGTGGCAACAGCCTCCTATCAGGAATGTATGAATCCTTTACACACAGCAGCTGCGGCTGTCACTAAAGGAATATCACCTTCAGGTTTTAAAGTCACTGTTGAAAACCATTCAGGATTTTCTAAGTAATGTACACTGAAAGATTTTTGTTGTTGTTTAACGCTGTCACCCTTTTTGGGCTTCATTCCTGGTCCTCAGGTAATATTTAAGTAAGTTAAGAAATCCCCATCAATTTTTAAAAGCAACAAAAGAGTCGGCATACCTGCAGGTTTATGACAAAATGAGTCCATAAGCTCATGAACTAATTTGGGGAGATTTATTTTTAAGTGTAGGGCCTGATGCATAAGGATTTGTGAGGGTAATAAACTGCATAGCTGGCAGTCACTGCTAACACTGAACAGATGGGGTTAAATTCTCCTGCATCACACTTTGGAGGCTGTTTCTGATGTGGGAGAATACATTCATTGTAAGTGTAAGAAAATCTGAGTTAAAGGAACAGTAATTCTTGTCATATGTTCTCACATACAGCTGCAGCTGCTATGAGGATAGCTGTCATGTAGGGTAGTTAGAAAAGCTGGGTGGGTCTGTGGTGCTAATTAGATTCGTGTTTGTTTTTATTATTCTTTTAGAAAGGAATTTGGATTATTTGCTGTGTTGTTTTGTTCTTTTCTTTGTTCTTTTCATATGTGGCTGTTGTGATGTTGAGGCTCTTGTTGCTTAGTGAGAAACAACAAATACTGAGGAAGTGAAGTGCTAACAAGTGACTTTCACTCAAATCAGTTAAATTTGGAGTGTTTGCTTATTCATTTATTTCACATGCAGTAGATGATTTTACAGTTGAAGGGGAAAAGTCCTTATTGCAACTTGACTTTTGCAAACCTTTGAAGTGGAGTAACACTGAGCACAAGCCTTGGCTGAGGTTTGTCCTGCAGATGGGCAGGGTCTGTGCTGCTCCCACCACCCTTTGTGCTCCCTCCCCCTCCTCTGGGCACCCATGGCACTTCTCTGCTCTGTAGGTGAGCAGCTTGCACTCACTAAATGAGGAGAAGAATAACCAAATAAAGTGTAATTGCCACCAAAACCAGCCCAAGGGTTGTTTTTGGGCTGTGCCGCCAGGAGGAGGAATGGGGTGACAGAGTGCACCATGAGCTGAGCTCTGAGAGGTGCTTCCTGCCCCAGCAACAACTTGCAGCCCCCATCCACACCAAAAATAGTCCAGACTTTGATGACAAAGATAGCTAAGTCAAGCTTAGATAGAGCACCCAAAAAGCCTACAGAAAAAAAAAAAATCAGCCTTTCGTAAAATTTGGTATTTTCCACTGTTATGTGTTTTCTGTTTGTAAAAGGGATGAGTATAAAAGTTCGTTCACAGAAAACACCAAGAAAAAAATATCTTCAATGAAAATGTGTAAAGATGCTCAGTTCCCCTTCGCTTCCCATCTTTCCTCAAATGCACTTCACAGATAATTCTCATGTCTGTATTTTGCTGTTAAAAATACAAAGAAAACCAACAAGGCTGCACAAAAGGAGCATCCTTTAGTTAATTCCTGACATTCATAGCAGATTTGAAATGCCTGTCTTTCAACAATGCTGCAGTGTGTGTTAAATGTCCAGGCTGGGGAAAGAAACACCCTCATGTTTCACTGATGGATTAAGCACTGCAGAACTGGAGCTGGTGTTAATCACTGTTGCTAACAGCTTCTGTCGAAGTGCTTGGCCTTATCTAAACTTTAAACTGACCTGGCTTTGGCAGCACCAAAGCTGCAACATGGTCAATACCTGTGCAGCCTTCTTTTTGTACAAAATAAAATCAACCAAATCCCAGATTTGTTTGTAGAAGAGAGGAGGAACACAGAGACTCATTACTTCCTTTCGTGTTCCATTTTGTGTTTTCCCTGTATGTCCATTCCCTCTGTCTGTGTGTTGGGGATATTAATCCTTTAGCTGCCATTTGTTATTTTTTTTTCATTCAAGCTGCTGACCATTCTCCATGATTCATTTTCAGTTCAATGCGAATTCTGGGGGATGGTATAAAGAAGCCTCCCATTCATAGGAGAAGGTACAAAGCCAACTAATGTGACTAACTGTTTTGTGTTTGAATGTCTACTAACTCCATCCTCTCCTGTTAGTAAACCTGTAGTACCTCTGGAAGTGTTGGCACTGGAGCTGTGCATCCCACCTGGCTGCTTTCCCTCTCCAGTCTGACCCAGGGCAGGCTTTGTGCCCCACAGGGCACATGCTGTTTACTCCAGGATATTATATTAATAATGAAGAGAAATCTCAGATATGATTTTGTTGGCCTTTGCCATATATAAGATTTGGAGTTGGTTAAACAGAGTTTACCTGAGAGCATGTGTGTGGTTTGGATTTAAAGCACATCAGAGACTCCTGGCAAGACTTGAGGAGGGGCAGCTGGGGGAGGGGATGGGTCAGACATGATCTCAGAATTAGACAACACTCTTCAGATCTGCAGCTGGTTGAATTAAATGGCTTTAATTTTGCTCTTTTGATGGTTCTATAACCATCTTCCTAAAAAGTAAAAAATAGGTGTGTTTTTACTTCCATGTGTTTTTTCTCTCTATAACAAATTTTCAGTTTCTAATCCATCCCACAGATAAGCAGTTCCACCCATGTAACCTTTGCACTGACTATTAGTATATAAAAGAGGATACTTAATTTTTTGACACAGCACGTGTGGAGTGTCCACACTTAGACATTTTAGGCTAAAGAAAGAAGGAGAAGTTGAACTTCTGCCCTTCAGTGGTTCAAGCTTGTCTCACCTCCCTTAGCCTGCTACCTCCCATGCTGTGCCAGGTTAACTGGGATTTCACTTCACTTGAAATATGGATGGGGTGTTGTGTGTGTAAACAAGCTACCATATTCCCACATGTGAAAAGAATGTTACCATGATGTTATGACCAAAAAAAAAAAAAAATCACTGTGCCTCACCATGCATCAGCATCAATGAACCCTAGCAGCACTGTACAGTTCTTTAAAAATATTTTTCTTTTTTTAAAAAAAGGCACAGGAAAGAGCATGCTTTTTAAAGCATGTTCTTCTAAGAAGCCACTTCATTTGCAGCACTGCAGGAAGCAGTGCAGTGCTTGTGTTCTCAGCTCATGCAAATTAACTTCTTTTATCAGTATTCTCTTAAGGCTCCTCTGTAGGAGCTGTGTTCATATTTAGAGTCAAAATATCCGGAAACACTGAGCTTACATGTAGAATAAGGAAAATGTCTAGAATACCTGGTCATATCTGAAATGTGTAATAATCATTTCATAAACACTTTCTCACTTTTTCTGGTCTCTAAACCATTTTGGAATCATCCTCTCTAACCCCACTTGTGGAGCAGGAGCTCCAAACTCTTTATGCTCTCCCACAAGGCTGATGTAGATAAAAGCTCCTTCTCCTCCCGAAGCCGTCTTCTGTAAAGGGGTTTTAAATGCTCTGCATTGATCCTTTTAGGATTTTATGGTGTTGCAGCAGGCTGTGGGTGGCTCCCCCCAGGACTGTGATTCTGCAAGAGTGATTTCCACAGCCTTTGCCAACAGATCCCCTTCCTTCTTTCTTTCTCTGAGATCTCAACACTTCCAGGGGCCCTCCTACATATGTAGGGCTCCTCTTCTTCCCTCCCTCTAGTTTTCTATTTCCCTCCCCTCAATTTTAGCATTTGGGATCATCTCCATAACATGGCAATGGTCAGGAATAGAGGCACCTTTTAAAGTCCAGTGTAAACATTACATGATTAATGAGGAGAATCTTCTTTCCTTCGACTGAAAAGGAACCACACAAAAATGAGTGGCTTTGGATAGCAAGGTGGCATAAGGATATCTCCAAGGGTCCACCAAGCTCAGTGCTCTTGTGGGCACAGGCAGATGGCCTGGGGAATCGTGTGTGACACCTTCCTTGGGATGCTTTCTCTGCTGCCCTGAGCAGGTCTGAGTGACCCAGGGAGGCTGAACCCAGGCCTGAGAGTGCAGGTTGTGTGTGATGGAGATGGATTTCCTGTGGCCAGGACTTGCTTCCTCTGTGATTTCACACAAGTATTTCAGTCCCTGCCATCCCCCATTAATACTTATATCTGCCATTGTGTTTGAAGCGAGTGAGGATGATGAAGTACTTGGAAATACTGGCATGTTATGAGAAGGAATGTTTTCATGGAGAATGTTTATAGTACTGTGCTGAGAGCTCCTGGTGAGGCACAACTTTTGGGTACAAAGCTTTGGGTATATCCACACCCAATTAACCTCCTTTATAAAACAGGCAGCAATTACCTGAACTCTGCCACTGAACACCCATCCAGATTGTTTCCAATTGCCAAACCCTTCCAGAATGTTTCCAGTGGTGCAGTGTGTGTGGAAACAATATGAGACGGCTTGCCATGATGCATTCAGTGGGTTTAAATCTTCGTCTGTGCCCTCAGAGGCTTCTGGCACTTACAGTTCATTGTCCAGGAATGTTTAAATTTGTTCTGCCCTTTTCATAGGCTCCTGTCATGGAGCAAAGAGTGCTCTGGCCGTGTCCCCTCCTTGCCTGGATCTCACACCAGGACCTGGGAGCAGGCCTTGTGCTTATGCAAAATTCCCTTCAGACAATGTATGCTTCCTGAACAGCTTTTTCAGGATTTAGGGATCATATAAATGTCATAGCTGACAAGAAGATGGATTTCTCTGTTTCTGCAAAACCTGCAAGTGGGCCATGAGCTAACAGAGAAAAATAACAAAAGCAGTCTAAAATAACAGCCAAAATATTTGCATTCTGTATTTGCATTTTTTATGTCTTTCATGATGCAACTTTGGGACTCTTTCGGGGAATGGGAGCTGAAAGGTTTTTTAGTTAGAAGCACTCTTGATTTAATCCCAAATCAATAATAAGATTAGCCTGTTTTTTTCTTCCAGCCTCTTTCACTGACTGTAAAGCATTTAAGAATGTGTCTTTCTCTTTATTTTTCCAAGTGTAGCCTGAGGTTATTAATATTTCTATGGAGGGGACTTACACTGTGAAATATCTGTAAGGGATTCTTTTTCTGATTTGAGAATGAGAGTTCCCAGGAAAATACTAATAATCACTAACACAATGGCTGTGTGTGACTACTTACAAATTGGCTTTGGTATGTTTTAGCCTTGTTTTTCCCAAAAACCTCTCCCCCTCAAGGAGTACTTTATGCAGTCCATTGTATACTTGCTGATGGGGTCGTTTTGGGGGAAGCGTGGGCTGTCCTGCTCCCTGGTCAGTGGTAACCTCAGGCATTTGGAGCACTGTGGTCTGTTTGTGCAACCAGACGTGTGCTACTGCATTATTTCTGAGTTTGTTGGGGTTTTCTTTTTTAAGATATGTGAGAGTGAGAGTCTTTTAACGTTCCCCATGTTCCATAACAACCCGATAATCACTGCCCTTTTCCTTTCTTTGCCTCTTTTGCTGTTCCTAGTTTGAGCTGGTGTCCCTCAGGCGTACAGTACATTGCCATGGGTCCTGACTTTACTTGTAGAAGGTATGGTATGAATAAATGTGCAGCAGCACAGGAGCTCTGCAAGCACCCTGTCATCAGCTTCTTGTGCATCGCCTCCTCCACTGCTGCTCTGGCTGAAGCGTGCTCGTGTTTGTTTGCTTGGTCTGCTTTTTCAGCAACTACTCTTGGGAGTGGATCCTCAGAGCTGGGCTGCAGGTGGAGGTGGTGGCTGCTTTCCAGTGGCCTCTGGCAGTGAAGAAGTTGCACTGTTGGGTTGAGCTGCTCTGTCCCGTGATGACTTCAAGCCGTGTTTTTTTTTTTGCAGCAGTGATCAGAATGATAATCGCAACAGCCAAAGAATCAAAACAAGATTAAATGTGATTCAGCACTTCCCTGTACCAGATCAGTCTCATACAGGATTTAAGTTCACACAGACTTGCTCTCTGTAAATTGAAAGACCTAGGTTTTTCTTCAAGGAGATGAATTGTATAAAACCTTCCCTAAAAAAAAAAAAAAAAACCTGATCACCACAGATGAAAATTTCCCAGGCTCTTAAGTTTTGAATCTTTTGTAGAAAGTCCCAGTGCTGAGATTGATGTTTGCAGGTCACATCTTTACCCAATTTTGTTTGGAAGCCAGTCCCCCAGATTTTATGGCTTTATAGCTTTACTCTGGCAGTTTTTGCTGGTTGTGGGTAGAGCTATTAAAACTCTTTTTTTTGAAGAGTAGTTATTGAGAAGTAAACCTGCCCTTCTTGGACATGTAATTATGTTTGGTGGATATATGCCAATCAGCAACTTACAGACCAGTATCACTGATAACTCTTTTATGGGCTAATATTTGCAGGTTTTAGCTAGTTTTGTCACAAGTACATGATTTTTTTTCACTACTGTGTAGCATTGTTGTTGCCACCTTGGAATGTAAAAAAGAGATCTTCTTCTGTCATAAATAATCAGTAGAAATTGGAGTGATTTCTACCTACAGGTGTTTTAGAATAATCTTTTAAATGCCTGCTATTGATACATGTTGATTAGTCACAATCTTCCTAAAGCAGATTAAATTATAAATGCTTCAACCAGTCTTTTTTTTCTCATTAATTACCATGAAAAAAGGTTTTTTTAAATTCCTAAATCTTCTTATTCATGGTTTCTTGCAGTTTTTGATTTCAAGGTGCATATTTATGAGCCTTTTAATGCTTCTAAGGGACTGCAGAAAATTAATCACTGCTATGCAAGTCTACATGAACTTAAAGCTCCTCTGGTTGTTTAAATCATCTGTACAGCCTGTAGTGTGTTTTCTTTTTCGTGTGTTTACATGTCAGCTTGTTCACCACAGACATCCTGATTAGCCTTGGGTTGGGATATAGATCCAGGGTAGGGTTGGGACTTGGTGAGTATCAAATCAGACATTAACCATGGATCTGTGCTTGTGTCCTGGGAGGGGAATCTGCAAAGCTTCACCCAGTGAACCCACACTAGCATTTCAGAAGGTTTGTTGATGCTTGGGCATGAGCAGCAAGAGGGTCAGAAGCAGAATGTTAGGGCAAGATTTATCAGATTAAATAGTCCCATGTGAGAGCAGGTGTGTTTTGTATAGGTGAAAGGAGAGTGTGTTAGTATTTTTCTGTAGGGGTCACTTGTCTATCAGCACCTGTCTCTACAGAATTTGGCCAGACATTTTATTTCTAACAGCTCTGCAAGCAAAACTTTAGTATTTTATTTAGCTTTGAGTTATTGCCCTAGCTGCTAGCTAGCTCCCTCAGTAGATGATAAAATAAAATTGATTGGGTGATGGAAACAACATTTATTGAATTTAAAAACAAAACCACAGTACGTGTAAAAAAAGAAACCAGCTTTGGCAGAATAAGTAACATTATCAGTGCCAAAACTGTGCAGTGTCAAGATTTAAAGCAGATTCAGAGGATGGGGCTGCAGAGATGAGTGTTACAGCGGCTGATGTGGCAGCTGGGAGGGGTGTTGGTCCAGGACAGGCAGCACCATGCTATGCATGGTTTGATTTGGGTGTCTTTATTCCAGGGGAGAGCCTAATAAAAAGCTAGCAAAGAGAATATGTGGAAATGCCAAAATCTTTAGAAGGGGTGTTTCTGGATTTTCCTGTGCACCACTCAAAAAGAGTAAAAAAAAAAACCAGTAGGAAAGGCAATTGGCAAGGAGTTTCAATGGATGTTCAAGCAATGAACAAACCTTTATGTCTCATTAGAAGCACAAAGATGTTGCTCTTTGCTCTGAAGAAAAAAGAACATGCTGAGGAGTAGCACCTGCCTTTGCCTGCACACTTCAGTGCCTGCTCTATGTGTTTCATGTTTGCAGGTGCTCTGCTGAAAGACACTGGTCCCTGAGGGTTTGGCAGCACCTGACCTCTGTGCTTTCCCTTTAGTTACAGCCTAGAAGGCCTTGCTGGAGACTCTGCTGAGAACAAGAAGCCCTCTACAAACCTGGAGGCTTCTTCTCTGAGCTCCAAAGACCTCAGGAGGAGTCCACTTGCCAGCAATCAGTCCCTGGTCCTGCTCACTGAGGAGCTGGAGCAAGGAGAAATCAGAGACTACAACCACCAGGTAAAGCTGTCCAACTACTGTTGGATGTCTGGGAAATGCTATATCAACATTTTGGAAGTTATTTTCCCAAGTGACAGTCTGACAAAGGCCTCCACCTTATATGAACATACACATAATATTAAAAATCTTCAGTCTTTGACGTGGAGGAATCTTCAGCTATTTTAAATTTTCTACTTTGTTCTTTGGGGCAGCACAACACTTGTGTCTTCTCTTGCTTAGAGGAATGGCATATTTGGGGAACAAACTGCTAAGCGTCAGGTTTTTTTTTGTCATGTTGATCCACAGCCTAGTTCTGCTGAGGAGTTGGAGTCACAACAGCAATTTCCATGGCCATCAGAGAGTTTTAACAATACCTGTTTTTTCATGTCTTACAAGAAAATCAAGCACACATAATCTGTTGCATAATTAGTTGTATGATTCTTGAAAAAAGAAACAGAATGTTGCATTTCACCTGTGCACCGCTTCACCGTGTCAAAGTGAGAATTGCAGTAAATATGAGCCCTGCACTGGGATCTGAAGCTGGGATAGTTCTGACACTCTTGATGTGCTCAGTGTGGTTCTGGTCTGTTCTGCAGGTGCATCAGACATCGCAGCCACAAGGATTTAACTTCTGTTCTTCTGCTGTTTCATCTCCACTGACCAAATCCGTGTCTCTAATGTCAATTAGCAAACCAGTGCTCGACAGTGAGTAATCCAGTTTTCCCTTATCCACTCTGTCATCTGTATAATTGAGTATATCTTGCTTCTTTCCCAAGGCAAAATGTGCTACTGCCCGCTCATGCTTCCTTTATTACGAGAAGTACACATTTCACTGCTGCATGGAATTGTGGGTGGAAAGGCAGAACTCATTCAGTCATTCAGTTTAGTTCTGTTCTTCCCAGTGTATCCCTGCTGTTTTCTTCCTCTTGGGTTTCCTTTGTGTGGGTTGCTTTTTTCTTTCTAAATTAGACTACTGGTATGAAAACTATGATTTATTGAGTTTGTTAACTAAAAAAAAATAGGATCTAATTTTGTATCCTTTCACCTTTCTGATTTCCTTCTTTTAATGTCAGGTAAATTCCACTTGAGGTCTTACTTCCCTTCATCTAAACTTTTTTAAAGCTGATATGTGGAAACTTGAAAATCCATGTCTTGATCTCCTTGGGGGAGTTTGTTGCTGTTCATTTTGAGTTAAATATTTTGGAGCAGTTATTCAATAAAATAAATATTTATTGAATCTCATTCCTGAAGAAAATAATAAAAAGATGATTCTATAAAATTTTCCAGTTTAGCTTAATTGAAGCGATAACAAGCACTTAATTTTGCTACTTGGCTGAATTGATTCTTTCAGCTGAAAAAGTCATTCAGAAGGCTGCAGCTGGATGTGCTTTGGATGTGTTACACATGTTTTCATTTTATTAATTGCCAGCCAGAAACCCTATTGACATTTTAGCTTTTGTCAATTAGTGATGGTGTCTGATCTTTCCTCTTTATTAACGTGATTCTCCCTTGCAAAGCACAACAGGGTGCTTTAAGAAAGGTGTTTTATTGATGGAGGAGACTTGCTGGAGGAAGATCACAGGGATTGTGCTTTGTAGGAGATGGTTTTAAATTCTTCAGCATGATAATTCCATGATTAATAAGGATGTGGCCTAATGAACGTGTAATAACCAGCAGCAGTAACCAAAATGGGGCAGCTCTGTCCTGTGAAGAGACCAGATCCTGCCCTGTGTGGTGGCATTGCCTCTTCCCTCCTTGGGCTGAAGGTCTTCATTGTTGTTTTTTGAGGCAACCCATTTCTTGGCATTGCGCCCAGCCTCTGACCAAACACCCAAAAACTTGGCTGGCTCCCCAGAAATGAGCTATTGGTGGCTGAGGGAGCCTGGATGTCCAAGGCTGTTAAAATGTCCTGTGGCCTGGTATTAAAAATGCCACGGAGGCTTGATTATCCCATCTCCTTCTAGAACCAGCCTGGCCACCCTGATCCCTGGAGAAAGAAGGAAAAGAGAAGATGTAGTAACCTCTCCAGAGGGGGTGTGGGCAAAGTAGCAAGGTTAATCTTCTGCTATGAGGCAGATGTCTGTGGGTTTGGAACACTGAATGTAAACATTATTAACATTCCTCTAAGCTTTATTTTCTCAGTCATTAATTTGTGACATTTTTATAGGAAGGTGGTTTTTGAAAATCAGAGCATTTGAGGGATTGATGTGAGCATCCAAAAGGAATAATCGCTTGGAAAATTTAGCTCATGGATTTTTTTCCCAATCATGACACCTTCCTGACTACAGAAACTTCAGTAAATCATCCAGAGGACCACATCCAGCATTCCTGGAAGTGTCCAAGGCCAGGTTGGATGAGGCTTGGGGTAACCTGCTCTACTGGAAGGTGTCCCTGCCCATGGCAAAGGCCTGGAGCTGGATGAGTTTTAAGGTCCCTTCCAACCCAAACCATTCTATTATTCTGCTTCATTCTTCCCCTTTGAAAGAGGGACAGTGATGTTTGAATTGTGACTGTAGGACACTTTGGTGCCTCTTACAGAGAGGTCTTGGTGTATGAAGTCTCTTGTGTCACATGTCCCTTGATGCTCATGCTTTTCCAGCAGGACACTTAAGAGTTATGCAAGAATTATATGAATTCTAGGACAAAATCAGTTCTTTATTCCACTTGCATAATTTTGTGGTAGGTGTTTAAAAAAAAAAAAAAAGGACACTCTCATTGCTGCAAATGTGTCTGAATGGGAAGAAAGTAACATGCTGTGCTCAAGAATTTAAAAACCAAATCCAGATTAATAAACATATGGAGGGTTTTCTCTTATTTTTACTGTTTATTGTCATATGTGCTGAGACAGGAACAATTTCCAAGACCAAGTTCCTAGCCCACACTCCATCTGATGTGTCAGATGTTCCAAGAGCTGATGTGGCCATTCACAATGTTAATCCTTCAGCATTTTATAGAGGGAGGTCACAAGAGCTGTTGGCTGGAGTGCTCGGAAGAATGCTTTTAGGGCTGGAATAGCAAATTTCCAGTGTGGAGCACTGTTATAAAGCCAGGAATTGCTATAAATAAAACCACTGAAATGGAAGTTGAACTGTGCTGGCGAAGGTGGTTCAATTTACAGTAAAGTATTATTGTTCATCTTGACTTTTAGTCTAAATAGACAGTAGACTACAGAAGAAAAAGACATGTTGCCTAATTGTGTTCTTCATGCCTGGAACACTAGAACAACTCCTTCAACAGGCAGTCTAAACAAAACTAATGCATGGGTCTTCCTAAGAATTCTTCAATTTAAATGCCTTTACTGTGCACATTTTAGTCAAATTGCCTGTAGACAATTGGCATTTGTGACTAATGGCTAGAGGAGACGTTCAGGGGAATTTGTCTGCATTGCTTTCCTAGCATTGGCTATTCCTTGGACAGTGTTTTTATATTCTGAATTCAGTTTTGATGTATGATACCAGCCATGCAAAAAACCCTCATTGTATGTGGCTGACAGGACATGTTTTATTCAAAGAGAGAAATAATTGCTTTGTTGTTTTTATTGGAAGATTAGTACTGATAAAGTCTTTAGTCTATTTTCCCTGTTCTGCAAGTTGATGTATCCATGGAATTGATGTATCCATGGAATGACTTAAAAGTACCTGAATACCTGTGCTGAAGATGTTCAATGTAGATGTTTAAGTGGGACCCTTAGGTCAGACCTGTCCCAGGAGCAGGGGCTCCTCAGCCCTGTCCCAGTCACCTTTCCTGAGGACACACAGATGTACCATGTGAGCAGTGGGTGTCCAGCAACCAGCTCACAGCTCAGAGGTTTCCACTTGTGCTTGTTTGAAGACAAAGTTTGGGAAATAGGGCCTTTGGGAATCCAGTTTCAGTGAAGAATGGCTAGCTGGCTCCTAATTCTCTTTTCACAGACCATGTACTTACAAAGAATTATTGGATAGCTGCTGCTGTGCAAGGGCTGCTCTTTAAAAATAAATGATGGGATATTTGATGTCGCAGTCTTATTGCTGAATTTGGCACTGTGTTTGGTAGGCATCTTCCAGCCAAGGGCAGAAGAGGGTGTAGGGGGACTTTTCTCATGTTTAGGCAGTTTCTTTAAAACAAGGACTCTTTAAATTTTAGAATAAGGCAGAAGAGATACTTGTTTTTTCTGTTTTATTGTGGAAGAAGAGAAGGGGAGTTAAAGTCTCCATTTTAATGCTGGAAATTTTGAAGGGATAACATTATCAACATTGCTGGTTTTTTTAAACTTAGAAGTGGCAAGAACCTCCCCATGTAGATAAAGTCAACACTTCAGATAAATTGTCCTTGTTAATATTTGGCAGCTTTGTTGTGTCATTTAACTGCAGAAAGCACATTCAAACAGATATCTTGAGTTGTTCTAGTTTGACTCCATGACAGTACTTCCACTGAAGCTGATGCCTTTGTCCAGACATCCATTGTGTTGTTGGTATTCTGTTTGGAAAGATACCTGCCTATAACTCTTTACTAAGAGGTCCTATAAAAAATGTCAGCAAAAACAGGGAAAGACTGGAGCCTCGAGCTGTGCTTGCAGTGAGACCTGTGCCCTCTGCAACCTGCACCCTCTGGAATTTGCACATTCTCAGTTCTTTGTTTCTTGTGCCTTTCTGGAGCCAGCTGCTTTGCAGACTTTTCCTTTGCTTTGCTTTTAGTTTGCTTTGGCTGCTTTCCTCTCCTTTTTATTATTAAATGCATTTTCAAGCATGCTCTAATGTCTGCTGTTAACCCACTTCTCAGCCCAGGGCCGGACTCGACCATCGAGACGAATCTCCTTCTCCTTCAGCATCTCTCCACTCATTCCTAAGTCTAAAACTCTCTTTTCTATTGGCTCTTCTTCCAGTGATGAGGAGGAGGAGTTGGAGAGTAAGTAATCATTCTCTGTGCAATGCAGCCATAATGGGTGGAAACACAGGGAAATCTGGTTTTCTGCTTCAGACACTGGAACTTCACCTTGCAAACATTGAACTACCCTTTCCATTGCATGATGTCTAACAGCATTATCTTGGTTCTGTATCTGAATACTAACTAATCGCAGAATGAAAAGGATTATTATACAAAGAATCTTCTACATCAGCACCATCACATCTTATTTGGTTAGTTTTAGTCTGTATCCATGTGGCAGATATCATCACCTGCCACACTGAGCAGAAAATGATCTTTACCTTTTTACTAAAACCAAAATACTTGCCTTGAGCTTGTTGCAGGGCATGGAGTTAGCAGAAGAGGTGCATCCTTGTCCTCCATAGGTGACAGTGAGTGCATTGCTCAGTGAAAGAGAAGTGAACAGAAGCCCTGATTATTAAATTCTGCAAATCTTCACAGCAACTTCACAGTTCCCCCACTAAGCAAAAAGCACAGATTGCAGTCAAAGACCTTAAGTCCTCAAGGTGTTCATATCTAAGTCCTGATATTGTTATCAAAATAATTCTCTGGGAAACAGGTGAGAGTTCTCTGGGAGCTTTTTTTTTCTCCTGCAAACTCCATTGCTAAAAGAAGCCCAACTAAGGCAGAAGATTGAATTAAAGTGATTTAGACTCCTCTTGTTTTTTAAAATGGGCTTACCAAAGATTATTCAAAATGCTTCCTATTTCTTAAGCATGTTTTATTCGACTGTTGAAATAAACCAGACACATTCCTTGTGTCCTTACTGGGATGGGGGAAATTGCTTTCCAGTCCAATAGATTTTGATTGCTTCCTGAGTTTAAAACAGTTTCCACACCATCTACGTTGTACATATCTAAATTCTTGTCCTTTCCATTCCTGGTCTTCACTTTGGGTTTGTCCTTTCCTTCAGCGAGGTCCTGTGCCCAGGTTTGGTATTACCACTTCCATATTTAAGCTCCTTCCTCATTGCTCTGTCCTTTTCTTCTGCTTTTAACAAAACTCACAGATCATGGTCCCCACAAAGTGAACTGCAAAGACACAGCTGTTCACTCATGTGGTGCCCCACGGTAAAAAATAGCCTTAGGTAAACTTTTTGTTGGAGTTTGTTTGGTGAGTTTTGTTCTTTTAAGCATTTGAATTTTTTTTTTGGTTTATTGTTTTAAGCATGCAATATCTGATATTCATTGTAGGATATGACAGTTTTAGAAGATATTTATAGGAGCCAGTATTTATCTTCTCTTCCTAAGCAGTGCTCGTGTTAACAATAATAATTTAAGATAAGGTCAGATATTGTCTCAAACAATTATATTGTTTTCTTTACATATTTGAGGGTACTGTGGTGACTTAATAAAGGTTGATTTAGCCACAGGTCCTTCTGAGACCGTTTTGGCAATGGGCATTTTTCATGGAGCAATCCCAGACCAGTTTGTTTTTTCACATCTTTAGGGTTAGTTTCTCATAAGAGGATGGATGTTTGAACACTGAGATTGCAAGTCCATTTCAGTTACCAATCCTCAACCTTTCCATTCCTGCTTTTTCTTCAGAAAATGGAGAATTAGTTGAAGTTTGTCTGGTTATATATTTAAGACATAGATTTCAGATGGCTGGACAATTATTATGAAGCCTTTGGATTTCTTGACCCACAGAAGTTTAATTACTGAGATCATTAAGGCATTGCAAGCTGGTTTCAACATCCTAATCTAGTCACTGCTTTCTGCAAAATGGATCTTGATTAATTATTTCAAGTCCAGCTACCATATGAATTAATTTTTGTGTGTAAATACAGCAAATTTTGGCTGCTAGCCAGGTTCACTGGACATAGATAGGATTTATGGCCTTTGAAACAAAAGCTTTTTTTTTTTGTGGGTTCTGAAGTCAGATTTCAGTTTTGTTCCTGGTCATGATAGGGAGCAAAAACATTTTAAAAGTGGGGTTTGCATCTTGCAGCAGTGTGTTGATCATGTAATGTTATATTATAATCTAAAATATGAACTCATAAATAGACCTTAATTCTTCACTGGATCCATTTTGCCTGCCAGCACCAAGAATCCCCCATTTTTAAGATGAAACTACTAGTGAAGTAAAAGATAAATTATACATAATTGTAGTTCTCATGCAGTGTATTTTCTCAAGGTAGTGAAAAACAGTCACAAATATCAAATTATTGCAGCTCTTGGTTCAGTGTTTGTTCACATTTCTGTTGTTAACTGCAAAGAAACAAAAACAAAATCTGAAATACTTAAATCCAGTCAAACAGATTAATCTCCAAAAAAGAAAAAGGAAATACCAACGAGGTCTAACCCAGATTAAAAGCAAACCAGAAGTGAAATGGGAACCAGAGTTACTGGAGCTACACCAAGGATTTGGGAGTCTGTAAATTGCTTTTATGATCCTAGTAGGCACTTACCTAAGTGTCTACTTAATAATATAAAACTACCTAGTTTTATATTATAAAAATATCACATATATAATAAATAAATAGAATATAAAAATATAATATTGGAAATTGAATAGTAGGCTTCATTTCATACATGTTACAGTGTTACTAACTTTGGTTAAATTTGGGATAAATCATTAATGAGGTGGAAGATTTTGCAAAGGAAATATTAACACAGCTCTCCAAGCAGGGTTTAGGTAACAGGGTATGCCTGTATTTTAGTTTCTCAATATGAAGAAATTATATTTCTGTTTGAGACTCTGTTGGCATTTGAATCAGTGGTTAGAAAATCTGTATTTAAAGCCTAGTAGTGCATGCTCAGTTTTTTTTCTAATGCTCTTACTGCTTTTGGATAAAGGGCCTCTTTGCCTCTAATGACAAGTAGCTCTTCTGCATTCACCCTTAGCATTAAGAAAATTTGAGCCAAAATGTTGTTTTTCTTGCAGTATATATGCAGAAGCCTAGTACGGTGACAGTCGTGCTGTTTCTTGAACTGCAGATAGGGCTGCAAACATCGCTTATATGAAGGGGTTTTTTTGAGTCTTGGCAAGCCCGGTTACTTCAGAAAGAGCCCTCTGTCCTGGATAGTTTCATCCTGATTTTTCAGTGCTCTTCCATGGTGCTGGTAAATGCTGTCAGCTCCCAGATCTGCTCCAAATGCATTGTGCAAGCAAGTTTCTTGTGTAGAGAGGGTTGGTGCCACTGGCAGGGCTTCAGCTTCGTGTTGAAATTGAGCCTTTCCTCGAGCAGTGTTTCGTGACGAAGCCCCAGGCTGGTAACGTTTTGTGGAAAACAGAATAAGGCTTCCCTTGTTTCCCTTACTCTTTATGAAGTGCCTCAGGATTTTGATGGGAAAATGAACTACAGTTTTATCAAGGAGAAAAGTTTTATACATGAAACCCGGATGTACTTTACAATAGATCCTTTCTAGTGGAGTATAAATAAAAGCATTGTGTCAGAATGATTCTCATTTATACTTACTGCCATTGAATTGGCAGTTCTGATTCAGCCACCCTGATTTACCAGCAAGTTTAACAGTTGCATGGTCTTTACTTAATAGCTGAAGAGTGATAAAAATACTAAACAGGCTTTCACCTCAGAATCTAATTTGAGAGCAGCTAAGGATACAGGGAACAGGCTTTATCCCGAGCACGTGAAATCTGTTCTAAACACCCACTTCTGGAAAACATTTCCCTCTCCTCTTGAACCATCCCAATAAGCAAACCATGTTTTTTTGAATCAGTGGGCTAAGGATGCAGTCTAACCTGTCCCCCCCTGCCCCTCCCATCTTTTGCAGGTGCGCAGTCGTTTGGCAGCTCCGTGGGCTCCTCAGTGCAGAGGTACAGTATTGCATTGTATTATGCAGTATTGCAGCATCCTGGGGACACCCTGCCTCTTCTGGGGGGACTCCTGCAGCAGGCTCTGCCCTGGGCACCCCAAAGCCTTCCTGGCACCAGGGCACTCATTTGTAATCAGAAGTTGTGAAAATCAATCCTGTCTCTAAAGGCTGAAGAATGTTTTAGATCACAGAATATGAAAGTCAAAGTCTCATCTCTTAACAAGGCTCTGTTTATTCATAGCTGATAACATCATGTTATGCATTAAAAATTAGTTTTTTGATTACGCATTATTGCAGGGTATTGGTTTGCCCTGAGTTATATTTTACACTAAAAGTAGTTCTTTCTGCCTGTGGCTAATTCTCTCTGTCTCTCTATAACAAAGGCCAAAACAATTGTGGTTTTGTGTGTTATTTTCCATCCTTGCAAGTTGCACAGAGGAGACATTCTTCCTGGTGGCTCTCAAGGTGCTTCCCTGGAGGAAGGGCGTTTGTGGCACTGGGAGTCTGGTCTGTGTGCCACTGACAGCTTTGGCTTTATCTTATGACAGGGAGGCTCTTCACCTCTGCTCTCTGCTGTCTTCTTGATTTAATTAGTGTTTGTGTTCTGCTTTTGGTTTGTGTTGTACTCAGTATTGACAGACTATGTCGTTTAATGCAATAATAGTTTCCCTATTCCTTTATCATAGCTGAAAAAGTCATAAGCTTGTGCATGTAAAGGTTGGCAAAAATTATCTGGGATCCTAAAAATTCCTAAATTAATATACATAGCCATTGTGGTTTATTACTTAATATTGGTATTCTCATTTCTCAGGGGAGGCTTTGCAGACAGGGGTTTCTGTTAAAGACATTCACAGCCTTTTCAGAGTTCACAGATGCCTTTCTCTGGAAGGAAATGGTTCTTTACAGCATTAATGGTTCCTGGTTATTTGACAAGGGGAGCAGCAGAGGGTGCTATGGCATGGCCTGCTTCAAAACAGATATGAGGATTCATTGAAATTTATCTCAAAATGAGTGGATTGACGTTTTGTCTTCAGTTTTCCTTCTCTGGTGAAACACCATAAAGCCCCTAGACAGTACTGGCTAATAAATGCATTTGTCCTTTAAAAAGAATCGATCCATTTAATGGATTCTTTGTGAAGGAGGGAAAAAAAATGCAACTTTTAACTTTTTTTTATTTATTTTAGCATATCTGAAGAGAGCAGCAGTGTCTCCGCTGGTAAAGGTGTAACAAAAGTCAGCCGCACCTTCAGCTACCTCAGGAATAAAATGTCCAGCAGCAAGAAGAGCAAAGTAAGTGCTTCTTGTGATCTGTGGAATGCCCATAGGCAGCAGAGAGGTGTTCTGCATTTAGGTCTTTGCTTGACTTTCTTTTAATTACTTTCTTTTACTTCCTTCCTTCCTTTTTGTTTTTTTTTAAAGGGCAGGAGTGTCTGTGGGGTGATAGGGACTGGCTCCATGGGAAATCTTAGCACCCCAATCAGTAAGGCCAAGTGCTGTGTCCTTGACAATGCTGGGTGAACAGTTAGACTGGTTAATATTAAAGGTCTCTTCCAGCTTTTATGAGTCTATATTTTCACTAATTTCCCCAGAGAGAATAAATTTTGCCCTGGTATGAGTTATAGCTTTGTAGTGATTAATGAGTCTAATTTCTACAGAACCTAAGAACCTTTAATGAAACAAGGACAGGAGCTGTAAGAAGGGACTGCCTGCCTAAGGCTGTATTGTCTTTTCATAATTTTTTACTTTTGCCACAAAGTTCGTGTGCACTGCAGGAGCAGTTGCTCAAACAGTGACTTTTAGTGATGGCTAATATTTATATTTTTCCCCTTTTTCCATCCTTGAAACCCTGGAATTCAATTTGCTGGAATTTCCTGGGAACAGTATTGAGATCTGGCTGGGACAGAAAATACAACAGCAGTGCTTTTAGATACTTGCTCAGTGCAGTTTGATTTCACTAACTTCATGATTGTGTCTGAAAATGTAAAGAGTTGCTCCAAAATCTGAGCCATAACATGCACTACAAAAATTGCAGTTCATATCAACTCTCATACTTCTACTAAATAAAAAGCCAAAATATCATTCAAGTTATAATTTCTTGTCTGCTCATGGTGGAATGTTTGCATTACATACATTTTTAAGGCTTCACCAGTACATTTAAATAATTTGACAAAAAAATTCGTTGGAACACTGATTTCTCAGAAGCATTATAGATGAAAAAAACCTCTAAGAGTTAAAAACAGAACCAACTAAACAACAAGGCTTGAAAGGGGAAGTTTGACACAGGAAGTTGGGTTTCTGGGCTATCAGGAGGGAGGGAGGCCTCAGTGTCTTTTCAGCTCATTTTTACTCGCCTCCAGACCTTCAAAAATGCAGTTTTCTCAGATGAAATAAAGTAAAATAAAGCACATCTGAGCCTACTAACGGCTTTTTAGGAAAACATAGAGAGTTATGTAAAAAAAACCCTTAAAAATAAAGAGATGTTAGAGCATTAACTGGAGGGGATACTGATAGAAGCTGGTGTGTATTTACCCCTGCCTGGCACGTACTTGGTGTTATTAGGGATTATCAGTGTATCTCTTGCTGAGTGCCCTGATTAACATTTGTGAGGTCTTAAACATGCTCTGTCTTTGTCAGTTCAGGAAAAAACCCTCGTTTTTTTTCATTTTGGTCAAGACTTTCTGAGAAATTACAACAATTAGCATGAGTAATTTCTCTTTTTTGTTGCCTTGCACAGTAATAATGCAGTGCTGTGCCAGCAGCAGCATTTCAGGGTATATGGTAGGAGTTGCAAGTGTTTGAAATGATTAGGAGACAGGGAATATGTGTGACCTGCAGAGCAGGAGGAGCTCAAACACACAAAACCTCTCTGTCTGGGCAATTTCTGCAGCACTTTGTTTACTTAAGTGCTACATAGCAACAGTATGTGAAAATTCACTTTTTCTGTAGCCCAAACATCACTGAGTGTTTGATTTACTCCCCTCTACCTTTAAAAAAGGGGTGGTCTTACACTGACCTGTAAAATATTAATCACATCCTTTTCTGCCTGTACGGGTTTGGATTTTAGCTTTGTTTTTTTTAAGCAGTGTAAGCTAAGGTAGGGCAAGATGAAAGCAATAGCAAAGTAGCTAAAATCATCTTTAAGGAAGTCAGCAACTATCCTGCCCCTCCCCTTTTTGCTCAACTCCTCGTTGCTGTGCCTCCTGTCCCTGGCCCTGCTGCAGCCTCCGGCACCGCCATGGGCTAGCGAGGAGCAGCTCCTGCTGGGGAGCGGCTCTCCTGGCCCGGGGAAGGATGTCCATAAAATGGAATAGATTCTCAGAAGTACCTCAGATAACAGTGAAGCTGGTGGGACTGAAGCACTGGGAGGTAAGAGCTGCGTGGTTCCTGGGGAGCAGATCTGCTGCTGCGGCGTGGCGGCGGTGCCGTGGCGCCTGTCGTGGTGGCTGCTCTGGCACGGCGCTTCGGCCACGAAGCTGGGCTTCAAATCTCACCTGCAGCTCCAACAGCACCAAAGGAGTCTTGTTTCTACAGTCCTCCTTTGATAAAGTTACAGTAACTGCCACAGGAAAAAAGAAAAAGCTGAAAAAAATCTCATTGTGAGAACTTGTCCTTAAGTGGAGTGGCTGGCAGCCCTTGTGTGGAGTTTGCTGTTTCCTTCTTGAAAGTGGTGCACTGATTTCCTGTTTTTCCTGGGGCCGTTCAGCTTTAATTGAAGTTAAAATTAGGCTTCAGAATTGCTGGGTTTTACAGTGAACTTCAGGTAGGTTTAAAGCATAGGATGGTAAATCTCCTTTCAGCATGAGAGTCACAAGATCTGGCTTGAGCTTAGAGTGATCTTTTCTCCTGGAGCTTCACAAGGCTTGGCAGTAGAGCAAAACTCCAGGCATCAGCTTGGTACCATCAGGCCAGAGCTAAACTGTATGGTTTTAGTTCCTGAATCCTGCCAGGCTGGATGTGGTTAAAGATGGGCAGGTCAGTGGATGGAACATGGGGCTGTGGAGGTTCCTGTGGGGTGGTGTCAGCCAAGCTGATGGTTCAGAGGAGGTGGAGATGTGATGCAATGCAGACTCTTTCTGGCAGCTTTTCTGCTTCAGACAGGATTATTCCATATGGTAATACTCCTAGTTTTGCTTATTTGCAGAACAAAACAGCATTTGGGGCCAGTAAATAGACTTTCTGTTTGACACTTTGCAGGGAGAGACTCCGGCACTGGCATTTTGCCTGGGATGTGTTGGGAGAGGAGTCCTTAGGCTGAGTTCCTCCTGATGTGTGTGTCATCCAGGGCTCAACAGTTCCCCTGCAGTGGCTGCAGAGCTCCATCCCTCTTTAAGCCACTTCATGGCAGTTGCTCACATGGGCAGCTCTGCAGCTCCCTGATATTCAGGCTAAGACAATATTAGGCAGAGGGCATGTGGCATATAAATAACAAAATGCAAAGATAAGCTGACAGTTTTACCGGTTTCTGGTGAAGCTTCTCTTTCAGATGCCAGGAAATCTGCAGCAACAGTTAAAAGCACAGACCTGGAGCTGACTAGTATCATAAACATTTTGTAGGTTGGTACATGGAAAGATGAGGAGTTGCAATTCAGATTCAGAGTTTTTCTCTGGAGTTTCCTTTAAAATTTGTTTGGGAGAATTCCAAATCCATGAAAGGCTGCAGGGGAAAATGTTTCAGATTTTTAGTATTTAGTATTTTCTATCTTAAGGTAGAGATAGAAAAGGAGCAAAAACTCTGCTAAAAGTTGGAGAAGCTGTCTGTGCTTGTCATCTTTCCAAAGCTGAGTAGCCTAGAGGTTGAGTCATGGCTTGTGGCAGATGAGAGGGTCTTTTATGGTGTTGCTGTTGTTCCCCAGCCTTTCTTTGGTGCCACAGGTCAAGAGTTTGTAAAAGATCCATTTTGCCAAAAAGCTTCACGTAGTTACTTGGGGTTGCATGTAACTGTTGAAAAAATTGCTAGTTGGAAGAAAAACAGAGGTGGAAATATTTTGGCAGTAAGGCTATAGAGGCACTGAGGAAGAGCTTGTGTTCTCCATTAGAAATGCAGTTGAAAATCACGAGCCTTATGGTTTGGCCTTAAAAATGAGCTGTGTTGAAAGTCTGACCTACACTGCATGTGGTATTTGTATTTAACATTAAATTAACATTATTTAAAGTGCTGAAGAGGCTGATGAGAGCCCAGAAACAGAAAAGAGGTAAAGTCATTAAGCCAAGCAAGCATAAAACAAAGGTAGAAGGAAATAAGTGCCTTCAGAACAGACTCGGTGTCATCTGCAGTGGTGAGACACCTGTGTGAGTCAATAGTATGTAAATCCACTTCCACAGGGGTTTTTTTGAGGGAGAGCTGTGCAGACACATGGCCATTGTGCAGGTGCACCTCGGTCGATACCCTCGCCGTGCCAAAGGCAAACACTGAGCAATCTGTAACCGGGGCAGAGACAGTGACGAGGCTTTCGGGCATTTTGTCTCGGCAGGAAAAAGAGAAAGATAAAGAGAAGACTAAAGAGAAGGACAAAGATTCCAAGGAGAAGGAAAAAGATAAGAAGCTGTTAAATGGACATCTCTTCACTGCAACCTCTGTTGTAGCCCAAGCAACCTGTTACCACTGTATGAAGCCTTTCAATAAGGATTCGTACTACTGTGCAAGTAAGTCAGGGGGGTTCCCCCCCTTACTTTTATTTTTCATTGAATCTGGCATGGAAAATGCAAACCTTACACTTTATTTTCCTTTTGCTTGAGGATGTGAGGTGGGAGGGAGACTTTGGAGATAGTGATTCATGGAGCAGTGCATTGCCTTGTGGAATTTGGACTGACATGAGTCGTGGCTGCATGGAGGTGTCCTGAAACCTCTTTCCTAAGCCTGAGCTCAGCCATGACAGCAGGCCATGGGGTTTTCTACCCCTTGTTGGGCTCTATCAGTCAGGAGAGCGTTGGTTATTTCAGCTGCAGGTAGTGGCTTGGAGCTTAGGTGCTTTGATAAGATGGACAAAGGACAGAGACAGCTGTCTTGGATCATGGCTAATATTTCCAGTGGGGGGGGGAAAGTCCCACCCATCTGTGGTGTGTTGCTTTAGTTCTCTGAAATGCTGCTTTGGTGAGCCACAGTGGGAACCACATGGTACAAAAAGGAAATGCTGACCCTCTGCTCCCTTTGAACAAGAAATTGCATCACAGGTCAAATGACAGCTACCTGTGTGCAGTAAAGGACGTGCAGCACAGAACAGGCAGGGTAGGAAATTCACTGAGGGTTTCTGAGTGACTGGGCAGTTTGTTCTCATTTCTTATCAGATGGTTTCTCCTGCCTCTAGCTCGATATGGTCCGCAGTGTTTGTGTGGCTGATACCAGAATGCTGCTTGGTTCATGCAGCAGCCCAAAGCTATATAATATGCAGACAAACCCCATTTTTTTTCCCACTACAGCTCAGTGGAAAAGGCTATCCTCTCCTCACTGTTATTAAGTTCTTACTCCACTAGCTTAGAAGTGATTCAAAGCGACTGCGGGAACTGCTCCCAGGCTAGAGCCTTCTGTTCCTGCTGGTGGATGTGAGCAGGGGGAGGACAGCCAGCTGAATCCCAAATGGCATTTCTGAGTTTCCTGGAAGAGATTTCAGCAGAGTTGTTTGTCTGAGACACACTCTGTGTCAGCCTGATGGGAAATGTAAAACACCAACAATTACAAACTCTCAATTGCATCCTCTCCCTTTCCCCACTTGACTTTCTTAAGAGCTTCTGAAGCTACGTAGAAAATCAAATATATCCCAGTTTGCTGCTGTATATTCTAATGAGTTAACACAACAATGTCATGTGTTAGCACAGATGTTCTTTCCTTGTTTTCAAGGTACGATGCAGAATTGTTGCATGTCTTCTGCACTGGCCAGAAGATGAATGTCATAAAAAAATGTTTGGTGAAAGCGTCCATTGAAAGCTCACATCACTGAGTGGTTCTTTCTCCCACTGCATCTTAAAATCAGCCTCAGATGCTTTGGAAGTGATGGATAAGCAGCAGCAGAGGTTCTGATATTCCTGTGATGATGTAGGCTGATGCTACCACCACTGCTCTGTCTCACCTGTGGATGATTTTTAATGCCTTTTAAAGCACTGGATATTTTATATTAATGTCTCAGCTTTTCAGTGGTGGCCCCCCAGCTTCCTGAAACATCTGCTCAGTGCTGAAAGATTGTGCATGTTCTGAAACAAATGGGCAAGCAAAAAAGCCTAATTTTCGGTAGCTTTCTGGCTTGTCTTTTTTGCTTTTTTATGATCAGTGATGCAGAAAATAAGGTTTTGGGGGTTTTAGTTATTAATACTAGTGACACAGAGGAGTTAGATGAACTTTTTTCTTGCTGAAGAGTTGAATTGGAGGAATAAAGTCCCTACAACCAGATGTTTTTTTAACATAAACATCCAATCTTTCTGCCAAATGGTACACACTAAAGAGCTGTCTTAAGGCTTTCAAGGCTTGAGTGTGAATTTCATGATTCTGAATTATCTGAGTGCCTCTGTTCACACACCAGAGGAGCAGCAGGTTCTGTTCCTCTTTCTTGTTTGGTCTGGAAACTTAGAGTGCTTCTGGGTTTTGGCAAGAGTTTTCAGGTTGCTTTGTTCTGTCTTCTCTGCACAGGAAATTGTGAGACATTGTCAGAATAGCAGCACCCTATGACCTTACCCTGATCTCTGTCAAAATAGCAGAATTATTGAGTCCTAAATGTAAGAGATTCTAGAACTGTGAGCATATTTTGTCATTCTGGACATAGATTTTTTTTTTTCCCCTGCTTCAAGAAATAATTCAGAACTTCACACTTACTGTGTAACATACATGTAAAATATGGTTCATTATCTGTGTTAGTGTTGTCATGAATAAGAGGAAATACTTTTCTCTAAGCCACTGAATCTTATCTTGAGCTGTGATCTTTCCTCTGCCAAAATGTTAAAGCCTGAAGCCCAATTATCAATTCCTACAGAAAAAAAATTTTTAAAAAGGCAGTTTTAATCATCTTTGATAACTTTGATTCCCAGAAATCTGCTGGCAGAAGTCATGGGCACATTCAGGGTATTAAAAAAAAAACAACAAACAAACAAACAAAAAAAAAAAAAACCAAGCCACCCAGCTTTTGCTCTGGCATATATGTAGCAAAGTTAAAGCATGATGGTATTTGCATTGGTAAATGTGATGCTTTTGGACCAAAACTTCAGTTTCCAGCAGGAAGTCCCAACCTGAAGGATTCCTGAATGATGCTGCTTCTCTTACCTTTTCAGGTAGCCCTGCAGTACAGCAGCACTTGGTTCTGTGCTCTAGATCTTATCTATGATGTCTGAATTTGTGTAAATTAATTTCCCTGTCCTCTTCCTGTCTTTTAGATCTCACAGTCCTTGTCTTGATGAGAGCAGTATTTGTCTTTTCAGAGAAATACTGGCCCTACAATTTGTTTCTGTTTCTGTCTCCTGCTTTTGCTTTCCACCTTAGTTTCAGAGGGATAATGCCATCAGGGTTTTTTTTTTCCTTTTTATTTCTTTTATCTAAGGCCCCTGGCAATTCAACCTTGCATTGATTTTTAAACAGAATTTCCTGTTAAATTCTCTGAGGAAATGTTATTAACAAAGGGCTAATTATCCTGGAAAGCAGCCTCTGTCAGTATTTGTTGCTAGTTGTGTAAACCACAAATATGCCTGAAAATTACAATTCTCAGTTGTGTAAATTAACAGCTCAGATTACAAACAGCAAAAATTTACTTGTTTTCTGTGGGGTTTTCTTTAATTTGTTGGTTTTTGGTTTGTTTTTTTTTTGTTTTGACAGACTGTAATGCAATTGTTCACAAAGGCTGTAAGGAGAATTTTGCTTCTTGTGCAAAGGTCAAAATGAAGGTAAGGGATTTAATCTACTTTACTGAATATATATATATATATAAAAAGCACTTTCTACCATATGTCACAAAGTTTCCAGTTTGTTGTGAGGAACTTCAGCCCCAGTGTTGAAGCTTCCACATAATGAAAACTGTTAAATATACTGTTTATATGAGGAACACAGAGATTTCATGCTTACTCCAAATGCAAGGAATCTGCTTCTCCAAACTAAATAATGTTTGAGCAATTATGATTTCAGTATTTTGAGCAATTACGATTTCAGTATTGTCATCACTTTCACATTTTCATATTTGCTGCACATTTCTCCATCTGTTATTTTGCCCACTTCGTTCAGAGAAAATTAAAAATATATTTAAAAGTACACAAACACTGAGAGGCTTCAGGAAAAAAAAAAAGGCTTTTTTTTTGTTTAGTTATATGGCACAACTTTCTGGGAGAAGGGAGGGAGAAATTAAAGTGAATGTCATTTTTCTTTCAGCCACAGAGAGGGATGCTGCAGGCACATGATACCTCTTCATTACCCACAGTAACCATGAGAAACAAAAGTAAGACTATTTCTTTCCCTCTGCTTTGGGAGTGCTCTGTGTCTGCTGTTCTTAACTGTTCTGACAACTGATACTCAATATTATGAAAAATAAGCTTTTAACAAATCCAGGATGAGAGCATCCTCAGTGCATGCTAAGCAATATTTGAGACTTCAGAAGTTGTACAGAGTTCATCCCCTTCTGCAGTGTTTGTGTAGCTCTAAAGAAATGTAAAATCATCTCAGATTTAGAAAAATCACCTGTCTGTTGTAGCTTGCAGAATGCCTATACCTGTTAAGGCCACAGAATCTGGAAGATGCAGCCTATGTCCATGGGTGTCTGATATGGGAAGGAGTACAACTATGAGTATTAAGTAGAGAGGATTCAAAACACAATCATTTTTGTTTTAATTAAAAAGTCTTGGACTTTGAGGTAGGCAGAGTAGAAAGTTTAATTTTGAGTAGGAGGAATACTGACAAAATGTTCCTGACTTTGCTGAGATACACACTGTACTGCAGAATGACCCAGTGTGACCAAGGATGAAGAATAGGTGTGAAATAGCCCAGATTGGTTTTGTAGGTCCATGATTTAATAAGCTTAAGTGATAAGCTTTGGTAAGATAAAAGATAGCTTGTATGGAACCACAGTATATAATATAGTTGTGATCACTGTGATACTTATAATGAAGTTCAGAGGTGATGCTCCAGAGAGCAGAAATGCATCTGAAGAAGGAAAAATCTGGAATTAATATGAACAGATTATGTAAAGGTATGTGATGGTGTAATGAAATCAGGATTGTCATTTCTCTGTGGTACCTACTGATAAGGGAAACTTATCTCAAAGAGTTTGACCAGAAACAGGATTTATATGACTATGAGCCCAGGGAAATACAAAGGCAACAGGGTGGATTGTGACATGTGATTAATTATCAAAACAGTTAAATTTAGTTTCCTATGTGTGTTTCTGGAGTTGCAGATCCCACCTGGGTATTTCAAGCATAGTGCAGTGATTTCTGCACAGGGGTCGATGGTCTTCCCTTCCTATGGCTGTTCCTAACTGCTGACATCCCCTGGGGATGATTCTAGAAAGAAACAGCAATGGATTTCAGAGCCTGGATCCTTTTAAGTCCTCACCATGCCAGTTGCCAGTGGTTAAGATGTTTGCAGGGGCTGACTGTTCTCCCACCCTTGCGTTGCAGGCTCGCAGCCGAAGGAGCGCCCACGCTCCGCCATCCTCACTCCCGACGAGAGCACCGTCACCTCCACCTTCAACAACAGGAGATCACAGCAGCCCACTGCACTCTCCAAAAGTGTCTCCATACAGAACATTGCAGGGTAAGGCTCCTCCCTGCACACCTGACTCTGTGTGCGTGTGTTATCCTGTGCTGCTGACATAAAGACGTAATTTCAGTCTCACTAAAAATAAGTTCACGTGCTGTGACTTGCGTTAAAGGTACAGAAGGGATCACAAACAGAGAATAGCCATGTTCTGTATGATACCATCAGTTGTCTTCTCCACAATCCTGTGTGAGTTACTTTAGTCATGGCAGAGTTGAGTTGGCCTGGTAGATTCAAGGCAACTTCCCCGGGATGCTCTGGGCTCCTAGGAAGAAATTCACTTGCCTTGGGCCTGATACTGTGCAAGCACACATTTGCAGCTCCAGGTGTAGTGTTAACTTTTGTGTCCATAAGAAGAGGGTGAAGGTACAGAGCTGCAGTCTTCCTGTTTTTAGACTGCATTATACATAATTCATTACAATAAATGTAGAAGAAAATCTAATTTATGGTTCCTACTGTTCTTGCATATTGAGCAGTTCTACATGTGAGGCAGTCACAGAGACTGGCTTATTCTGGGCAGTTTGGATGTCCTAAATTTCCATGGGGAATTTAACTTCAGTCCATTTTCTGATCTTTCCCAGAGTTAGTGATAAGGACTGTGTAACCTAATGGTGTGGCAGTTTTTTCACACTGTTTGCTCCAAGGGCAAGGAGGATGGGACGTGACTGGAATGGAGTTGTCCAAACTATAAAACCTCAGGAGTGGTTCTTTACGCAAGGCACCGTCACTCACAACTATAGTGCTTACAGCTTCTCAAACTCCAGTGGGTAGTTAGTAAACAACTCATAAAAGCACATTTCTGTACGTAATTGTGCAGTGCTGGCTTTCTTTTTCAATTCATATTTAAAATGCATTTATTCTGCTTATCTGAAAGTACATTTGGCTGGGCTTTTGTCATAAACAATATTCTGTGTTCTGTTTTTCTGCAGAGTTGGGAACGATGACAGCTTAATACACACTTGGAAATTCCTGTCGCAGTCAACAGATTCTTTACATAAAATCAGCCGGGTTAATGAATCCATGGAGTCACTGGTTGATGAAGGTAAGATATCTCCATGGCATTTATAGAAGGAAGGTCTCAGTGCTGCTTTCCAGAAATAGAAAATCCATTTTCAGCAATTGTCTGCTTTTATAATGGACAATTAAAGTGCCTTTATTTTAATCTCAGAATATTAGTATGATAAACTAAAACAAAGCCCCACATAGTAATTTCTTTAGCTCATTGAATTGTGGAAAAACATTTAGAAGGTTTCAGTTACAGTTGAGTTACTTGGAATTTAGCTCAGGGACAAACATTTCCTCTTCTGTTGTGTTTTTTTATTTAACTGCAATGTCGTTTCATGGCAGATTAGGAATACATTATCTGAGCTACAGTTTGGTCCTTGTGGAAATGGTGAACAGGAAACTAGGAAATAGCCTTTAGAAGTGTTTTTCATAACTAGTCTTTATGTGGTATGTGATCATTTGTGTCAGTAAAGGAGAATGTGTGTGGTGTTTGTGGTGTGACTGAAAAAACCTAAACCTAAATAATTAGGCAGCAATCTCAAATGGGACAAGTTACCCACATCTTAATGGCACTTATATTGTTTTGTGAAGGTGCAGACATGAATGAAGGACAGCTCATGGGAGACCTGGAATTAGATTCCAAGCAGCTGGAGGCAGAGTCCTGGAGCCAAGTAGTGGACAGCAAGTTCCTACAGCAGCAATACAAAGATGTTGTCAAACGGCAAGATGTGATTTACGGTGAGACATCTTCACTTTTCACTCACTGTAAACAGCTCCCTGATAGAAACACTGCTTTGGTTTCCTCAAAAGCCAAACTATCATTCTGGAAGTTCCTAGAAGTATAACATATTCTGTGAAAGCTGTTTTTCTGCATTTCACATATCCAGAAGCCATCAAAAACCTCTCCTCATTTGTCTGCTGATGACTTTCAGATTGGTTTCCACCACAAGCAGCTAACTTTAAAATCTTTTCCTGAGGGATTCAGGAGCCATCTTGTATGGCAGGAGGGAGGTGTGTGGAGGCTGGCAGTGAGGTGTTAGGAAGGAGAAGATGCCAGGCTGATGGTTGAGACCCCAGCAGCACCATCCAAAGCTCTCTGTTGTAGGACACCTCTTCCCCCCTGTTTCTCTCATACATGAAACTCTTGACTGATATTACAATTCCTGACATGGAATTTTTTTGAAACCACTTAGAGAAGCCCAGTTATGGCAAATCTTTCTAATGGCAGCTTTTCCTTGTGCTGTAACCCACGAACTCTTGTCCTCATCCTGTGCAGAGCTAATGCAGACGGAAATGCACCATGTCCGCACGCTGAAGATCATGAACGATGTGTACAGTGCAGCCATGTTAAAGGAGCTGCAGTTCGATCAGCAAGTCGTGGACAAGCTCTTTCCCTGCCTGGAAAACTTGCTGCACATCCACAGTCAGTTTTTCCAGCGGATTCTGGAAAGGAAGAAGGAGTCACTGGCAGACAAAAGTGAAAAGAACTTTGTTATCAGGAGGATAGGTGACATCCTAGTGAATCAAGTAAGTGCTGGAAAAATGTTTTCAGTTCTGAGAACACAGCTGGAAGCCAGATGCTTTTCCTTCCCTCCTGTTTGTGCCTGTCAGATAAGCACGGTTGATGGCAAATTTACTCTTCACACATACAAATCTCCCCCCCTGTTTTTTGAAGCACTTTTTGCTCCTTCAGAGGAAGGTCCACTGTTGAAAATTAATTTAGTTCATTTTGTGGGAAAGAGAACCGTTCACTGACAGGCACAAAACAGTTTGACCGCAGACTGGAGCGTAGGCAGGAACTCACAGCAAAATAATGCCCAGTGTCTCTTGGCTGCTTTACTGACCTAGTGTTTAATTTGGGGTGGGTCATTTTACTTCTCTTTATCCACAGTTTCTGTCTTCTTTTTGTCTGTCTTGACTCTTTTTGTGGTTGGCTTTTAAGCCATGTGATTGGAGTTGCAAATTTTTCTGTATGTGTGAGCTCAGTGAAGTCTCCAAAGCAGCTCTTTACTCTCTAGAGATCTGCTTGCATGGTTGAGCATGCTTTGGACTAATTTGTTTTCATCAAGTTCTTCTGAGAGCCTGGCAGGCACTGCTGGGATGTCACCCCAGGAGTTCAGTGCAGGTTGGAGCTGTGTGTCCCATTCTTTGCAGTTCTCTGGGGAGAACGCTGAGCGAATGAAGAAAACGTACGGCAAATTCTGCGGGCATCACAACGAGGCTGTCAATTACTTCAAAGATCTTTACTCAAAGGACAAGCGCTTTCAGGCATTTGTCAAGGTAGGACCTAGCAGAACAGATGTAGCCAATGGAACAAATGTGTCCTTTCTGCACTCTGGGGGAGTGTTTTGCTGCAGAACTGAAATTTTCATCTTTGTTCCTTAGAAAAAAATGAGCAGCTCCCTGGTGCGGCGTCTTGGGATTCCTGAATGTATCTTGTTGGTAACACAGAGAATCACAAAGTACCCGGTCCTTTTACAAAGGATACTGCAGTACACCAAAGGTAGGGACCAGTTCCTGTATTCTAAACACATATTTGTTTGTCCAGTGTGAAGTTTTGATCCTTTACAGCTGAAGCAGATTTTCTTACCAACTAATCTAGTCATTATTGTCTCACATCACTGCAACGAGATAACTCAATTCCATACTTCCATTTAGAATTAGTTGTTTAGGCATCTTGATTTAGTTATTAGAAGTCTGTCTGTGGTTAATTGTGGAGCAACATGCCTAGACTCCAATGTCACCCCAGCTTGGTTTCTTTTTTTGGTATTGGCTAAAATATGTAGTTAATTTGTGCATTTCATCTCTACTGTCTTATATGCAAATTGTATTGGAATATTCTCCAGCCTCAGCCATGTATATGTAAAAGGTTTTGTGAAACTCTCTTTAAGGGGGAAAAATGTCTCATTTAAGTATTAAAAGTTACAATGTGGGAACTTGGGAGAAGAGGAAGGAAGGAAGTAAAAGTGGGAAGTTAGACTGCACAAAGTCAAATTGAGATGTTTCTGTTTCTTTTTTAAAGAAAATGAAGTGGAACATGAAGACTTGACTCAGTCGTTAAACCTTGTTAAAGATGTGATTGCTGCAGTCAATAGCAAAGTCAGCAAGTATGAAAAGAAAATGCGTCTTGAGGAGATTTACAACCGGACGGACAACAAGTCCATCATGAGGATGAAGAGTGGCCAGATGTTTGCAAGAGAGGACTTGATGCATCGGAAACTCATCCGAGATGGGCCTGTTTCACTAAAAAACGCAGCTGGCCGGTTAAAAGGTAAGACTGTCCTGCCTTCTGCTGTGGAAGGATGCAGCTCACCTTCTCCAGTGTAGGATTAGTCCTCAGATTGGTGCCTCCACCCTTGATTTATTCTTCTGCTTTGATAGATTGTGACACCAGCTTTCTCCTGCTGTACCCCCACTCCCTATTGCTTTTCCAATTCTTTGTGTGGGTTCTGGGGTGATGGAGAGCTGCTTTTCCTCCTGGTGACTGCGTGCCTGCTGAGGGCTTGGGTGGCAGTGACACCTCAGTGTGTCAGCCAAGAGCAGACAGGGCTGTGCCTCAGGCTTGGCAGGAAGGCTGGGCTTCCCTTTTTCCCTGCAGCATTAGCTGATTAAATTATGGTCTGTGGGCATGAATGGGGCCTAGGAGCCTGATGCCGTGCTGTGCAGGGAGGTGGTGATAACACAGAATTCTGTATGGGGTATGATTTATTTTGAGGTTTTGGAAGCAGGAAGTTTACACATGATTTCTAGGCACCCGAGACTGCTACTGCCTTTAGATGGTGGATGAAGCAAGTTCTGCTGCTGTTGTGAAATCGTGATAAGCACAGGCTCCATTTGCATTTCTTAGTCATAGAAATGCACAAGACTCCCAGGGAGAGTAGGTCCTGCAGGCAGGCTGCAGACCCAGGGAGAAAGTGGATCGTTCATATATTCAAGTTATTTTGTGGTATTTGAAATGGAGCGCTGAAAATTATAGGAAGAATTTCTGTTTAAGGGTTTTAGCATTTCCACTCTTGTAAAGTGCATGGAACAGAGAAAAAGGCAGTCAAATGCCACCTTCTGCAAACCTCCCAGAGCCTGGATTTCATTTTGCAGCTTTGCTTAAAGTTTAGTGGTTCTTTTATCTGGAATGGATTCTGTCTTCCCAAAACAGACTGGAAGGATTTACCCATGGGGTGATTTAAATTTCTGGTTTGCTTTCTTTCTGTCACAAGATTTCCCAAGTACATTACACAAAACCTCTTTGTACTGAGGGGTCTGGGTGGGGCATTACACTTGGTAGTTGCTGTGCAACTTTATGATATGTTATTAGGAGACTTGGAAAGCTCTATGTGTACTCTGGGAAAAGACTGATTTAAAATCCTCTGTTGGCTTGAGGTTGTGTTTCCTTCTCCCGCGAAAGAAAGCCAGGTCCTGTGTCTCACGCAGGCTCCCCTCAGAGTTGTGTTTGTCTGAGAGCAGAATTACTGGTGGCTCCTGAAGTCAGTATTTCCTGGGAAAGAAACTGCAGCTGACAAATGTTGTTATTGCACGATAATTTACACCCTGCAAACCACTCATCAAGAGAACCATAAAATCCAAAACTTCCTGTGCAGATATTTTGCTTGAGGGCTGAAATATTGATTGTTTGAGAAAACAGAGCTTCTATTGAATAAATGTCTGGCTTTCACTGTTTGCCCATGTCTTAACTGGTAGTGAGCATGTGGCTGGAGAGGAGCACCCCTGCTCTGATGGGCAAGAGCAAATCCTGCAGGATGCCCAGGTGATGATGTGTCCTGCCTAATGCAAAGCTGGTTCAGAGCTAACCTGATCTGTCATTCCCAGGAACTGCCCTTGCTCCTCCTGCCAACTGGGAGGTTGATCTTGCTTTCAGGGTTTGCAAAACCAGCCCTGCTGCTCCCCAGCACTGGTGTTATTGGAAGGGATCTGTTTGGGGGTGGGTTGTGTGGTTATACTGCACTGGTATGCTTCTTCTTTTGCAGAAGTCCAGGCTGTTCTCCTCTCTGACATGCTCGTGTTCCTTCAGGAGAAGGACCAGAAGTATGTCTTCGCTTCACTGGTAAGGCTTCAAACCTTTTTCCTTCTTACTTTTCTATGTGAGAGACTTGTGATACTGTGTTGTGCAGCAAAGCCAGCAATTGCCTGCTAAACAACTTAATTTTCTTGCTCAGAACATTTTTGTTTGCTGAGCAGACTCCGTTCTTTTTGATGGGAAAACATGTCTTCATGCCCCACCTCCCCTTCCTGCAGTGCCTTGGCACAGCTGGTAATTGGCCTTGAAAACCTGCCTGTCACTGGAAACACTTGTGCTTTGCAGTTTGTGCACACTGGAGCAGTGACTGGGCTGGGAGGGGGTGAGGGGATAATGCAACCGTTGTAAAAACGAACCTCAGCAGAAGGAAGTGTCCAAATACATTGTGAGCTGCTGCAGGGGGCAGTGAGGTGAAATGCCAGGGCAGTAAATCCAACAGAACAGCTTGAAAATAAATGTCAGAGAAATATATTTGTAATGTGCAGGAGCAAAAACATTAGGTTTGAGGGAAGGTCCCCAAAAAGGGCTGGGCACATTGACCTGCTAATGAAAACCTGGTGCTTATGGAGTCTGCTGGGCTGTACCTTCCAGGCATGGTCTAGACTGGCTAAACCTAGTGACCTTTCCACTCTTTGAGCATTTTGAAAGCTGATAATTTGTTATTCCAGCTCCACCAACGCTCTGCACAGGCTCAGTGCCCTGCACAAGGGAAGCTGATTTGCATACAAGTCCTGCTAATGAACCAGATCACCCCAGCTGTAGCATGTGGTGCAATGCACAAAGGGGCTGTGCAGATGACACAGCAGCCTGGGGACATTTTAACCCAGCAGGCTGATGACACAGAGACCATAGCACACAGTGAACATCACCTCACACATGAGTTCTCACGTAGCAGTCAGCTGTGAGCGTCTGAGAACAGCAGAGGTTTTGTGGGGTTTGAAAACAAGACTTTGTCCTGGAGAGAGATGGGGAAGATACTGCGTGTGAAGCAGGATAGCAAGCTGTACCAAGTGTAAGGAACTGTGATATTAATGACAGGGAGAGTGTGGTCAGTAGGAAATGAGATCAGAGCAAAATATGGTGCAGTTTACAAAACCACAGAGTTAAATTGAAATTAATTTTTTCTTGAAATTGAGTGAGGTAAAATTGCTTTTCCTGTGTAACTGTTGGAGGGAAGCAAACCCATCCCTTTTGTTTGACCCCACTGAAATGATTTTGTTTTTTTAATTTAGCCAGTATGTTCAGAAAATGTTTACAAACCTGAGAGATGTAGCACTATGGTTTATTGAGACCTTTTCAATGCTAGTTTGAATCTGGGAGCTAGCTCTGGTCACCTTCCTCACCCATTTCTTTCTATCTGAAGGACCAGAAATCCACTGTGATCTCTCTGAAGAAGTTGATAGTACGAGAAGTGGCTCATGAAGAGAAGGGTTTGTTCCTGATCAGCATGGGTGGAAAGGATCCTGAGATGGTGGAAGTCCATGCCAGCTCCAAAGAAGAGCGCAACGGCTGGATACAGATCATTCAGGACACAATGCACACCATGTAAGACACTCAGCTGTTCTTGTGAGGCAGGGGGTGCACTGGGTGTGTTCCTGTAGTAATTGAGCCATGTCTCCTGTCCAGGGATAGAGATGAAGATGAAGGAGTCCCTTGTGAGTCTGAGTTTGAAAAGAAATTGTCCGATGCAAAAGTGAGAGGACTGAAAGGTAAAATTCCTGGAGCAGAGCTGGGGAGCCACTGTGGAAAAATGTACAGGAAGTTTTGGGTTGGGTTTTGTGGTGAAACTGTGACTTTTTTCAATACTGCATCCAGCAAATAACTGCAGTCCTGGTTTGCAGATTGCCCTCCATGCATTATTTATATTCCAAGCCCTCTGTGCCAGATTGCCCAGGGCACTGTCGCGCTGCCAAGACCAGCACATATTGTCATGCTCCACTAGATGGGGCCAATATCTCAGAAATCGCTCAGGTCTCCTTGCCAGAGCTTTTATTTTGTCTTCATCCCTGTTTTCTGTTCACCCCCACAGAACAACTTCAGCAGAAGGATAAACAGATCCTGCTCTTGCTGGAGGAGAAGACGAAGATCTTCCAGGACATGTCAGACAGTTCTGTGCAGGAGGAGGTGCCAGACTCCAGGCTGCTCTTCAGAGCCAACACAGAAGAGGCTCCAAAAGGAGAGGCAATCATGAAAACGGCAATAGATGAAGGTGAGCCAGTCATGTGACATGTAAATTATAGTAGCCAATTATAATTGGTTACCTTCAGTGAAGGTATCAGTTCTCAAGCACTAGTTTTGGAGGGGACATCTTCTCTTTGTCAGAATAACAAGGAGAAACTGTTCCTCATGGGACAGATCATGAGAATCAGGAAAGGAAGCAGATACTGGGGGAGTGTTGAAAGAGGGCAGGAAAGTCAGCACAAAGAAAACCATGCATTGAACTAGCTTTGGGGTCAGGAGCAACATGGGATTTATCCTTGGCTGAAATTTAGACCATCCAGGCTTATGCTGTTCTTCAGTCTCAGCAAGATGTGAGGGTGGGGCTTGGGTTCCAGCGGGTGCTTGTGGTGCCTGCAAGGGACAAACAGTTATATTGGCAAAGGCAAGGGTAGGTGGAAACTCAGGCTACTTTCCAGTATGATCTTTGGAGAGGCTAAAATTATTAAATGCTGTTGTCAGAGAACATTGAGGTTGCATTGAGGCAGGGATTAAAATAGTTCAGAAACCTGAGGTGGGCTTTAACAAACACATTGCTGCTTTTTATCAGTTGAACTGCTGCAAGACCTGGTGAGCAGGAGCCTGGGCACTGCCCTTGGACAGCAAGTCAGCAGCGCTGCCATGGATCAGGAGGGAGGAGTTGGCCCCATCTCACTCCCTAGAAGGGCAGAAACTTTTGGAGGATTTGACAGTCATCAGATGAACGCCTCCAAGGGTGAGTAGTTCTGTGTGGACATCAGAATTGGCTAATAACACACGTCATCGTGTCCTCTTGCTTCAGAAGGACTTCAGCTGGTGGTTTGGGTTTCACAACTCCTCTCCAGCAATAGTTGATAGATTAAATCACAGATTAGGAAAAAAGCCTATGTACAAGTGGATTGATGGTAGCTGAGAACCTGTGACTATACAAGGGTTAAACATCTGAACTCTTCACTCCTCTCTGTGCTCTCTCTAAGTAAGACTTGCTGTTTTACTTACGTGCCACATGAAAGCATTTGGCTTCTCAATAAATTAGTTTCTTCATGTTATTATTGTAATATCTACAGGTCTGCTTTTTGTTCTTCACTTTTCTTCCCAGCAGGAGCCTGATGCTGTTGCATTTACAAATGGATGTGGATATTGCTGAATCAAACACCTTCTCCCCTGTCTCTGCTCTCTATGCATTTATGTTCCACCTACATCTGCATGTACTATTCCTCCAATTAAGTCTCTCCCAAAGAAATGCGTGACTGCTTATTTCAGCTGCATACTTGGCTGCTTCCCAATGCCCTCTTTCTTTGCTCTAGTCATCAGAAACTTCCCTGTCCTCAAATTCCTTTCTCTGTGGTCTTACTCACACTCCCAATACAACCAGTTTTGCTGTGCTAGTGTCTGTCTCAGCACTGGCATCGTTGGACCTCGTCTGACCTCCTGCATTAAAGGAGCAGTGTTAGCTCCAGACACTCAGACATGAGAACTATGTAGAGGCTCTCCCAGCTCTGCTGGAGAGCTGCAAATCTCTCCACAGGCCTTGTCATCATGATGACAAATACAGTCACACTGGAGGGGCTTGTTGAGGGTTGTGCCTCTCTCTGTTGCAACGATGAATGGGACAACCTCAGGCTGTTGCCCAAATGTAAGTTTTCCGTAGAAATACCCTCTGATTCTAATTCAGTAATTGTAGGGTCCTGGGAGATTTTGGGAAAAGAATGCAGGGCCTATCTGTTCTGCCCAGGAGGTATGAAACCTGGCATTCTCTCCAGTTCTTCTGTTCACAACCTGTGAAACCTCAGGCAAGGCTTATAACCTGACTCCCCTTCGTTCTCCCCTCCAGCAAAGCAGAAGGGAGGAGTTTCCTCCTGCAGAGAGGTGGAAGGTCCCAGGACGTGGCGCAGGAGAGCAGGTCTGTTAGGAGGACTTGAGGGTCAGCCTCTAATAGCAGAGCCAGCCTCGGGGGTGGGGGGAGGAGAGGGCCTTTACACCAGGTGTGGTGTCCTTTATGCTGCTGCAGACTCAGGTTTATGTAAAGTCTTTAAGAGTGGCAGAAGGAACTGCAGGTGTGAGTTTTCCCCATGGGCTGCATCTCAGCTGGCAAAGGAGTACAATAGTCTTGGCAAGAGCTAGAGGATGGAAGGTCTGTGTGACTCCTTTTGAGCAGAAGGGCAGCACAGGGGGAAGGTCAGAGCCCTCATGTCCCCCAGGTCAGCTCAGTCCTGCTCAGGAGCACTGATATGAGCCACCCAGCGGGAAGTCAGAAAGAGAAGCCCAGTGTCCCTTTGAAGATCCAGGTATCTGATAGCTAAGGTTAATGATAAATTGTTAGCATAGAATTACACAGGGTGTTGCACAGCAGTATCTGACCCAGATGTAAATTAACTTGCACAAGAGAGGCATTGAAACTATACCTGCAATAATATACCCTGATATGATTCTGTTATCATCCTCCATCTGCTCTTATGCTGCCTCATGTCTTCTCAGCAAGTATTCTGTGGTAGTAGACAGCAGTGCAGGGGCTAGACAGGGCACCAGCTGAATTTATCAGCAGGTTCTCTGAAACCAAAGTCAACTCTAATCTAAATTCACATCCACTTTTTCTGGTAGTGCTGACGTGTTCCGTATATTTAGGGCTCGAATTCATTTAGTTAAAATGTCAAGAGCTCTGTGTCCGCTTCTGTGGAACACGTGAGTTTCCTGTATTAAATTCCTCAGACTTTAGCAAGTTCACCTCTGCCTTAAAATGTTGAATAACTGATGTCAGTGCTGGCTTCTTCCCTTAGGTGGAGCGAAAGATGAAGGCGATGATGCTCAGGACCTTCGGAGAACAGAGTCTGACAGCATTTTAAAGAAGGTAAGGCTTGATTTGTGCGTCTGCCACCACTGAATTCAGATTTCAGGAGTGACAGCTCTAGCCTTTAAAAAAATGCCTGAAAATTTCTTGACAATTAGTTACATCCTAATAAGATAAAAATAAAATAAAATTTGAAATACACATGCAAAACCACTCACTTGAGAACCGCTGCAAATCAGCTGTACTCCTTAATGGCACAGGTTAGCTGCCAAAGCATTTGTTTCATTTTGCATTGTTACTGAAATGCTAAGGTCAGCTACAACCTTGCACCTTTTCTTTCTGGGGGTTGATCCATCACATAACTGCAAAATAATGCATAATTAACATTTTATTCTATATGATTCTAAATGGCCTAAAAACATGCATGAATTCTCCCAAAATGGAAGATGGAGAGGAGTGTTTAATGGATGTGTCATTAGTTCAGCTTCAGAAGGCATTTGCTATGATTTTTCATTGTCCTCATATTAAATTTGTGATCTTGTCATAGGGTGGAAATGCTAATTTGATGTTCATGCTGAAAAGGAATAACGAGGTAAGAATTTATTCCATTGCTCAGCTGTTCCTTTCACTTAAATGGCTAGAGAATTTGTCTCAATAGGTGATAATGTAGAAGAAAACGCATTTAATTTGCTGAAGCAGATCTAGACTTTTAAATACATTAAACTGAACCCACTGTGTCATTTATTTGTTTAACCTTGGATGTTTAGACAGAGAACTCACTGATTGTCATCTGCTTGCCAGCAAGATGTTATGTGCTGATTATAAGCAGCAAGGGTTAATTACTACCAGGATGCACAGGGCTGTATTTATTGTGCATCTGCAGACAGAAAGAATTTAATTTTATGTTGCAGGTGCAGTGAATTGGGGCAATTAGATTTCTATTCTCCCTTTGATACACATTCATAACTCCCAATTAGCATTAATGACAAAATGAGAAGCAGTTCTCTTAATACTGGCTATCACTTCACTACTGAAAATACTGAAGTGCTCTTTTTTCTTCTTGAAATTAATTGTAGGATATGAGAGATTCAGAGAAATTTTTAGCTAGGCTAAATTTAGGGATAGGGCGTAACTCCAAAGTAGCTTGCTCTGTATTGATGCATGAGGTGTTTGCATTTCTGTATTTTCAGAAAGCCTCCAAGAACACACCTGCTGCACTTGTGTGCCTGCTGTAGTGCAGCTTTTCTGTCTGGTGTCAGTGGGTCTTGTATGGGTCAGCTGGGGGAGAAGGGTAAAAATAGCCCACATCTATTTAAAGATTGCTTTTTTTTTTTTTCACCCCTTGAAATTTTTTTTCCCTGAAAATTTTAAGTGAACTTCTGGGCTTCATCTCAATTATTTAGCTTGTTCTTGAGCAAGCTGATGATGTGGGAAATGGTGTGCAGAGACAAGCCAGGACTTCCCATGAGCTCTGTGCCTGGAGGTGTCTCTGCAGATGTTCCTTCCCCTGCTGCAGTGACAGCTAGGGAAGGGAGGAAGGTGATGCCAGGCACTTCTGGGAGATGTTTAAGGGTGTGCTGGGGGATGATGCAGTCATTGCAAGGGAAGAGTGAGGAAAAGCTGGGTGCAGAGGGATGGCTGTGCATCTTGTTAGACCCACTGGTGTACACAAAGCAAGAGAGGGTGCTGTCCACATAGCCAGCACCCAGTGAGATCTAACAGCAACGCTTCTGTTTTCTCGCAGCAGGTCCTCCAAACCATTACCAGACTCCATAAGCTGCTCAGTGCTTTGCAGGTAGGCTTAGCCCTTCATCCTGCTCCCACACACTGCTTGCCTGAGCTGCCAGTCATGCTTTGCCCCTTCCCTTCTCATGTCACAACCCTGCATGGCTGGACACCCCACGGGCAGCTTGCAGGCTGTGGGATTGAGCTGCTGCCTAAGGGAACCAGCGCTGGCCTGAATTTGGGAAGCTGCTTTGCCAGCAGGCTCTGGTAACCCGGCAGCAGTGCTGGGCTGGGCTCAGAAGGGGTTCAGTACAGCACCCTGAGGTTTTCAGGGACGGGCCTCTCCCCACAGAGAGGATGCTGCAGTGATCTCTGTCTCCTCTGTCCCAGGGCGTGGTGCTGCAGCAGGACACCTACATCGAGGACCAGAAGCTGGCTCTGAGCGAGCGGGCTCTGAGCCGGAGCTTCTCCCGGCCCACCTCGCTGCTGGAGCAGGAGAAGCAGCGCAGCCTGGAGAAGCAGCGCCAGGAGTTGGCCAACCTGAAGAAGCAGCAGACACAGCACCAGGAGGAGAGGCGGAGGAGGGAGAAGGAGTGGGAGGTGCGGGAGAAGGAGCTGGCAGAGCAGGAGGCCGAGCTGGCGCAGCGCGAGGAGCAGGTGCAGAGGCAGCGGCAGGAGCTGGAGCGCGAGCGCGAGGAGCTGCAGGTGAGGAAGGCGGCCTACCAGCTCGACCTGGAGAGGCTCCGCACGGCGCAGAAGCAGCTGGAGAGGGAGAAGGTGCAGCTGAAGCAGGACGTGGAGAGATTTGCTCAAATGCGGCAGGAGCCTGACCACAACCAGGTAAATGATGCCAACAGCCGGGCTCCTCGGGGAGCTGGTCCCTGCAGGGAGCTGCCAGCCAGCTCCTGGGTGAGCTGCATGCCCCTCACAGGGCACACAGCCATGCCAGACATGTGGAGTGCCACGTGTATTTAAAACTGGCTCTTCCTTCACGTATGATGTGCAGAGCTGCAGTTTTTGTACCTCTGGAGCTGCTGAGGCACTGCCAGTGTTGGTGCTTTGTGGTGTACTGGGGGTGCTGGGCAGCCTGAGCTCTGCCCACTTCCCTGCCTGTGTGCTGGGGGATGGCACAGAGGAGGGCGCAGGCTCCCAGGAGAGATGCCCAGGCAGTCCCTGGGGGTTGACACTGCCTGATGTTGGCCTTCACCTGAGGGCTGAGCTTTGGGGAACAGTCAGGCAGAGGGGACATCCTTCACAGAAACAGCCTGAGTGTTCTGGGTAACCTTCAGCTTCCAGCTGTCACAAAATCAGCTTGTGATTCTGATAACAGTGGGGCAAGGCTGTTCACATGCTGACATCCATCTCCAAAAGCATTGTCAATATCCAGCAAAGAGATGGCATTGCCCCTGTCCTGAAAAAACCAAGCACCTGTAGTCCAGTTGTGGCTCAGTTAGCAAAGGTCCCCAGCTCTGCTGGAAGGGGCTTCTGGTGTCTGCTCCAGCTACAAAGAAAACCCACACAGATCCTGGTTTGGGCATTTTTTCAGCAAGCTAAGGTTTACTCCTTTACAGCTCTGCAGCAGTCTGACTGAGGAGAGCCAGCACCATTGGCAAAACATGGACTGAATTAAATCCTTAAGCCTGTTGATCATTTGTTTGTTTGTAACTCACTTATTCTGACTCTAATTTGCTTAGAGCTGTAGCAGAGTTAGTTTATAAATGTTGGATTGCAGAATGGGAATGATTTTCGATGCCTGAACGGCCTAATTGTGGAGCTGAGCAGTGAGCTCTGAAAAGCTAATCACCCAAGGAGGTCCTGCTCCCTCCCACGTGGCTCCTGATCAAGCCAGAAGTTTTCCAAGCAGCCAGTGAAGCTGTTCCAGGTCCAAGCACTTGTAGACAAGGGGCATGGATGCTGTGAGAGAAGCTGAGAGGTAAAATGCCTGCAAGGCCTAAGAGATTTAGGAGAAGGAAGCACCTTCTCAAAGCAGGTATCTGACTGACATTGCAGAGCTATTAATAGAGTGTTCAGTCAAGCTTTGTTGGGCTTGTTTTGATCTTCCCTTTGAATGTGCAAGCTCAATTACATCCTGAGACAGCCGTTAGGAAAAAAAATATCATGAAAAATGCTTTTGCTTTCATCTTTTGCTTGGGAAGGCTTCCTTTGACACACGGTGCTCCTGTGCCGTGTGCTGGCGTTCCCTTCCCAGAGAGGCACGCTGCTCCTTGGCCTCCTGCCACCATCTGTGTGTGCAAACGATGCAGGGTGAGTCTTGCTATTGAGATCTTAGAGAATATTTGCCCTTGGCTTGTTGATACATAGCAGAGTACATGTAGGAGCAAAAGATAGTGCAGTGTTACTCTTTTTGTGCCTCATATTTTCATCTTGAACAGAGAGGGCTTTTCTCTCTTTACTTTGCCTGGATGGGGGCAACGTTTTACCTGGTGAATGGGTTGGATGTTCACAAGAACAACCTCAATGAGTGGTCTGGGACACACCTTTTCTGTCCATGTTCTCTGCAACCCTCTTTCATGAAACACTTTTCCTTTCTAGGTTTCAAATCTACATGAGAAACTTGCAAGAGTCTCTTCCCAGTCCAGCATTGATGAATCCTCCATACAGAAGAACCCTTCCCTTCCTAAACAAGGGCACTTTGATGCAGAACTTTCTGTCTCCCCCAAAAGGAACAGTCTTTCAAGGACACACAAAGAGAAAAGCACTTTCCATTTGCTTAGCACAACAAACCAGACTAACAAGGCAGCTGAGGAACAGACCCAGATGCCTACTCGCCTCTTCAGTTTAGCCAAACCAAAGGAGAAGAAGGAAAAGAAGAAAAAGGGCAGGGGACATCGCTCCCAACAGTCTGGTGAGTGTCAGGGGAGCTCACAGGTGTTTTTTTAGGGTTGGTAAACTGGTTGTTTTCCTTCAGCCAGCAAACTTGTGGAAGCCACAAAATCTGGCTTTAAATGAGGATGGTGACACAGTTATGGGGAAGAGCAGCTGTGCTGAGAGGACTTCTCAGCTTGAAGTGATCTTCCATGGGTGTTTCTGCCTGTTCTGAGCCCCTGGGGTTGTCAGAGGGACACACATTCTTCTCATTGTTTCTTCCCTTCCCATCCCATCCTGAGCAGCCTCCCTGGGCTGAATTCTCTGCTTCAAGGAGGAAAATGTTCTCCTTCAGTGTCAATGCTTTCAGAAGGAGCTGCTGCTGATCCTGGCTGTTGCAGCTCCTGAGGCGTTGATGTCTGCTTTAGCTCTGTGGCAGTTTGGAAGTGATACCCACAAGCCTTCTATTGGCCTCTCCCCTCAAGCTGGTCTATTTTGTCTCTTGATCTGAAACAAAAACATACAGGGCTTTTTTTTTTTTTTTTTGTCTGTTAGTTTTGCATCCCCTTAGGACTCAGAGCTGCACCTCAAACCTCTGACCCACATGAAATTTGATCACATGCCCTCGGATGACTGGTTTCATTCATGCTAGCTCACTGATGTTTTCCAGCCTGTGCACAGGAAATCTCACCCATTACAAGGTGTAATTTCATGGTAGCTCATCAGGGAACTGAACATCTTTTAAGGGGCTCGGTGAATTTGGCAGACGGGGGTTTCTGTGCTCTGCCTGCTGTGTCCCTCTGTTCCTGTAGTGATTCCTACATCATGTTTTTTGTTGCTACAGATTCTCACTCATCAGAAGCACCTCCAGAAGGTGAGGAGATCTTCTGCTGAACATGGACTATTGCAGTGGTCACTCGTGGCATTGGCACCGTGGACATCTCCCTGCCTGTGACACAGCACGCGGCTGGTGCCTGCGCTGGACAAGCATCTGGAGGTTTTAAATAAAAAAAGTTCTGAAGTCTGCTAAGTGGTAGATAAGGGCCTCTCTCCTGTGGTTTTAGGTGAATTCTCCCTGCAGAGGCTGTGCCTGCATGGCACACAGCACCATCTCCCCGTGCAAACCTGGGGTCAAATGAATTGGGGTAGATGTTGTCTGTCTCTTCTTACTGCTAAAGGATGAGAGAACATAGCCTTAAGGGGTCTGTGCCTTCAAATTCCCCTTTTCTGGGGAAAAGAACCAAAACCAAGCATTTAGCAAAAGATTAGGACTCTACAAATGGTGCGTACACACTGGCATATATAGATATACTGTATATGTACATATATGTATCTATGTATCCACTGGGATATGCTTGCAGTCCCTACAGCCAAGGTCCACCCGTGGGGATAGATGATACCTGAGGACTTTCAGGGAGTGTGTAGATATTAAATATCTTGCCCTTACTGCTCCAGCTGTAACACAATGACCTGCACACCCCTTTTGTGCTCATGGGATAAGGGATGTTTGGTTTCAGAAGGGTACCTTACACCAGGAAGCAGTAGCAGCATTCAGAAGCAACAACTCAGAGGATAAAAATTAACATTTAAAATCATTATGAACAATTTCTGTGGGGCAGAGAAATCAAATGTCAAACTTTTTCTAGAGTCAAGCAGAACATTATTGGATATATTTTAAATGGTGCAGATGAGAGAATTTTGGTAGGTTGGTAAGGCCATCCCAGGGAGCCAGAACATACTGTTCAAATGGAAACTGCAGTAAGCAACAGTTTTTTTACACAATCTCTTTGAGTTCCAGCTCAGTCCTTCCCATCCCTGAAATAAAGATTATGTTTTTGCCAGAATAGAGCTCTCCAGTTGCATTTGACATCCCCATACAAGCCTAATGATTGAGTGGGGGACTGGCTACAAATCTGCTTTTAGGGATCTTTGTTCTGTTCTTTGTGTTTTTCTTAGCCTGCTTTTTGTGCTGCCCCTGGGTTTCTGTTTCTCTGGGTTTTCTCACTTGCCCTGCTCGTGTCTGAGGCAGAGGGAGAGCAGCAGTGTCCGAGCAGGTCAGTGAGATGCAGCAGGGCAGGCTCCAAGGAGAGGGCTGCTGTCCCTGTGGCTGTGCAGCACCGACCACCTAGGAACCATTTCTGGGGAGAAAAAGGCTCTGGTGGACAAACCCCCCGTGGGACATCCCAGAGGCCAGCGTGGCGTGTCCCTGTGGCCTCTAGGCTGGAGTGTCTGTGCAGAACAGGAAGATTCAAGGGCAGCTCTTGCTGTGCCAGCTGTGGGGTGTCTGTAAAGTTGTGGAGTACAGGCATGTGTTCAGTGGGGGAGGAGAAATGCAACAAGAAGTTCTTTTCTCAAAAATCACCTTTCTTCCAAACCCTGTCAGGAGAATTACCCAAGTGGATTTGTAAATGGTTACCAGCTTCAAAATAGGTCCAGGTTTTGCTCAAGAGTTTGAAGCTGTCAGGTGCATTTCCTTTCCTACCAGTTTTTTTCTTTGAAATAACAATCTGTCTTTTTGTACTATTGTTTGATTTCAGTTTGCTCTCAGGCTTGTCATGAGCTGGTGACCCGCAGCAATTTTCAGAGTTAGTGCTGATGAGTATCAGCAGCATTGATGGTGAGGTGGATGCTTGGGCTGGGCTGTCTTGGTGCAGGAACCCTGCTTGCTTTGGAAGCTCTCTACACTATTAAAACTCAAAAGAGGAAAAAAAAAGAAAGGAAAAAGGGTTGAGATTTAATTTTATTTTGTTTTTTTTAAATATTATTTGGTGCTTGTTCTTAATTGCAAGCAGGGCTTGCAAAAATATTTATCTTTCATTTATCTGAAAGAGTTTTTTTTAAAGTTTACTTGGTTTTATTTTTTTATTTCTTTTTATTTTTGCTTTTGTTTCGGGAATAGTTTGAGGGGTTTTTTTTTTTCCTCTTTCCCCTCTTTATTTCTTTCTGTTTGTTTGTTTGTTTTGTTTTCTTACCAAAAGATTGGTAAACCAAATGTTCTCCTCTTCCTGTTTCTGACAAACCATGGGGTTGGGCAGTGCTGCTTTGCAGCTCATTCCATGCCCAAAGTCACACAATTTCAGCTGAGAGCTTTCTTCAAGGCAGAGCATCTTCAGGCCAAAAAAAAAACTGGAAAAAGACATGGTGACTTCAGACAGGGCTCCTTCTGTCAATTAGTTTCCACCTTTAAACATTTTGGTTAGGTTTTCTCATTCCCTTTGGAGGCAAAGGAGAAAGCAAAGCATGGAGTGCCTTGCAGTGATGTGAGGTTCTAGTTGCTCTCCAGGGCCTGAGGGGAGCTGAAGGAGGCACGTGCTGGTGGTGTGGTGTTACTTTTTCATAAGAAAACCACCAACTTCAGAAAGTAACTTCTGCCCTGCTGCTTATGCATCTGCAGACACGAATGAGCCAAGCTGAAATTTCTGGAAACCAAAGCAGTGCGTGGCTCATGTACTGTTGTGTGAGCAGAGACCAGGGCACTGGTACATCTGAGCTCCCCTCAGTCTGGAACAGCCTTTGCCACTATGAACTTTTCATTTTATCCCACTGTCTTTTCCCCAGTCCCAGCACATGCTATATTCACAACACAGCAATGTCCTGTGGCTCTGAGAAGGGCACCAAAAGGCAGATAAGTGATCCAGGGCAGCAGGATTGAGTCTGCCTGGCTTCACCATCTCTCCTGACCTGTGCAAATCAAAAAGAGCAATCAGTGCCTGAAGTGCAAATACTGTTGGCTAAGTGATCTCCCAGGGTCCCTCCAGGTTCCTTGACAGAAACCACAGGTGTGAGTCAGAAATACAGTGACCAGAAATCCTGTGTACCAAAGCTCTTTGTGTCTTAAATTCTGGTGGACAGACCTTTGTCCCTGGTGGATGTGTGTTACTGTATGATTCAGTTTTTTGGAATGAAGCCTCTCCTCCCACGCTGCTTCCTCCTTCTTTCACCTTTAGGAAGGTAAGGGCTTGTTTTTATCTCTTTAGCCTTTTATTTTTCCCATCTCAGGTTTTCTTTGGAAAGGCTTGGCATATGTTCCCAGAGTCAGATTCTTGCTCTGATCCCTGAAGGTTGTCTAGTGTTGTCTGCTAGAGTATTGTCCCAGCTTGACAGCACCAAAACCTTTCCTCTTCCTGGCCTTAAAATTCCATTTGCTCCAGTTCCATGCCTGGCATCCATCCTGCAGTTGTTGAAAGCATGTTCTGTCTTCAGCCCAGCCTGCTGCTAGTTCCCAGAGCCAGTCCCTCCATCCCATTTGGAGCTCCCAAATCACCCTGTTTTGCATGGGGTTCCTGGGACTCAGAGGAGGTTCAAAAACATCTCTTTGAAGCCCATGTTGTTGGAGGAGAAGAGGATCCTGCGAGGGCGCTTGGAGCTGTTTGTGCTGGTGTTTCTTGGAGGGCAGAAATCAGATTTGATTTTCTTGGGCTTTTCTTGGCCTGGTCTTTGCCACTGCCCAACAGGAGGGTTTCAGTGTCCAGGGAAGGTGAGAGTGTGGGCTCAGACAAGTACAGAAGTGGCCAGTATCAGCTGGGGGTGCCAGAATACCCAGCAGCAGAGAGCAGCTGTAGCAAAGGGTGGGAGACTCGATGGGTCTGTGTGGGCTTGGCCTTAGATTCTTTTAAATGAAGTGATCATCTCAACACAACTTGATGTCAATTTGATGCCATAAAGCACTTTAAATGGAACTGCTCTTGCCCCTTTCAGTTATAGTTATTTGGAGACAATCAGTTTTGCCATTGCTTCCCGCTCTGTATCAGCAACAAAATCAGAGCTTCAAGTAGGTGTGTTCCTGATTTGGTTTGGCTTTTCCCTGAGAGGGGAGGAAGGGCCAAGCTGTTTGTATTATCTTTAGACCAAAGTGGGTGTGAATCTGACTACAGTTCCACTGCAGATAGGTTAAGTGGCAGGACAAGAGAACTGGCTTGTGTTGGCTCAGGTACATCCCCCAGGAGAGCCCGTGTCAGCTTCACCATCACCTTCCTCACAGCATGTAGGGAAGCAAACCCACCAGCAGTTTTCCCTCCATCTCCTTTTCCTTGGAGAAACTCAGAGTGAAGGAGATGTGAGGGGATGCATCCAGATAAGTGAGGCCCTTTCCATGCACCAGGATATTTACTGTCCAGGCCACTGGGACACATCCCAGTGCTGTCATCCCCACTGAGGGTGGACTCTTCCCTCTGGAGGTGTGGCAGCACAGTAATGCCATCAGCTTGTGTGGATTTGCATCCAGAGAGTCCAATTGCCTTTGCACCTTCCTTGAGTCACTAGGATATCTCACAGCTATTGCTGAAACACCCAGTTCCAGTCCTTCCACATGCCACCTAGTCAGAAGAGGTTCTTCAGGTGCCAAATCCCAAGGAAGCTGTCTAGGATGTCTATGGCATGGGGCAAGGGAGGACTGGGCAGGGGACATAGGAGAGTGTCTGCTAAAATCCCACTAAACATTCCTCGTTAACCAGAACTCTGGAAATTATTGTGCCTGCTGGCCAGGTTTGGGAATTGATCATGAATTAGGGCACCCTTTTAAATAAAAAACGTCCCCTGCTGCTCATAACTCTTGCTTCATTTGTCAGAAGGGGCAGCAATCCACAATTCTTCATTGGTGATACAGCTAAATTTTAAATATAGGCGAGCTGAACTGGCCAAATCTCCTACACCTGGGCTCTTCAGTCTTGAGAGGTGTAACACCAGCTCCTGCTTTTCCAGGGCTCTGTGCCCTCTCCTTCCACGTGCATTTCACTGACACTGATGCTTTGCCCAAATATAGTTCAGCTTCCATTGCTTGGGGGGGAGGGGGGAACAGGATAACACTCACTGCTTTGCATACAGCTATGAGCTTTGTATGTATTTAAGCTGCCTATAGGTATCCATCCTTTCCTGCTCTAAAGTAATGCTACTATTTTCTTTATCAATATTAAACACTGACTCAAAAAAAAAATGAAATAAAAATCTATGTCCAGTTCAGTTCGCCTATGGTTAAAGTTTAGCTTGGTGTTTATTTTGTACTAATATGGAATGCACTTGAGTAATTCCCGGAACATTGAGGTATATTATAATAACCTGATGTACCTCTGCTTTTGGTTTGTTTCTTATTAAAAAAAAAAAAAAGGAAAAAAAAAAAAAGCTTTGCATTTTCACGTTGAACCCATAAAGAAAAAAAGTTGGGAAAAAAAGATTTTTAAAGAAGAGGGTAAAACCTAATTGCTGTATGTTAATTTGTAATTATGTAAAAAGTAAGCAGGTTATTGACTGTAAAATTCTTCAGTTTTTCTGTAACTTGCCAGAAACCATTAGGTTTTGTAACAAGCTTTTATTTATCTTCCTTTTTAGTTATCAGTATCAACCTCTTGTAAAGTCATTCTTCCTCTAAATAAATTTGATTTTAAGTCTGAGCTTTCTGCCTGATTTACTCCCACACCTTTAGTATTTTTGCCAATGACTTTTTTGCACCAAGGCTGGATGAAGAGCCCTAACCTCAACCTGTAATCAATGTTTGCTTTCCCTTTATGGTCTCCATTCCAGTTTGAACCCACTGGACTCTTCATTTTCATCCTCTTACAAGATTTGCATTTTACTGAAGGACAGATGGCCATGTGATATTCCTTGGGTTTTCCTCCCCTCCACACACAGGGACAAGAAGGGGAAGTGTCACAGCTGTTCCCTGTGCTCTTCAGCCCCGTGATGACAATAATGGGAGTCTGGGGGCTGCATGAGCTGCCTGATGGCACAGAGTTCCTGTAAGGCCCTGACACAGCTCCGTGTCATTGACAAATCCTAGACACAGAGGGTTTAGGTTCTTTTGGCCTAGAGAACCAGACATGCATCTCTCACAGGACAGGGCCCACCATGCTGTGTGGCTTAGGTGCTCCCACGTCTCCTGCAAGGAGAGGCCTATCAGAAATGCTGTGCCCAGCATCCAGGTCTCCCCTGGGGAGGTGAAGTAAGGAAGAAAAGTCTTCCTTGTGAGGCTGGTGAGGCACTGGAACAGGTTGCTCAGAGAAGCTGTGGATGCCCCCATCCCTGGAAGTGTTCAAGGCCAGGTCAGACATGGCTTGGAGCAACCTGGTCTAGTGGAAAATTCCCTGCCTGTGGCAGGGGTGGTGGAAAAAGGATCTTTAAGGTCCCTTCCAACCCAAACTATTCTGTGATTCCATGATAAGGTACATGGTGTTCCCAGTGCCTGCAGGCATCAGTCCAGGCAGGAGCGGGTGCCAGAAGTACAGAGCCACGACGATGAGAAGTCATGGAGGACCTCAATGGCTGGGGCTTCCCCACAGCCATTTTCTGCTGGATCATAGAAGTGATCACTGCTGGCCCTGTACTGCCAGTCCTGCACAGGACTCCAGCATCCCCTCCCCAGGCAGGAGAAGCAGGAGATCTGCACCCTTCACCCCCGTGTATTGGTTTTGAGGCAGAGGAATTGCTTAATTTCTATTTGTTGCTCCACTTGTCTTCAGAGGTACAATTGAGAAGGAGAAAGGATTGCTTGAGGAGAGTCAGAAATGTATTCACAGAGTCAGAATAACCTAAGTTGGAAGGAAGCTACAAAGAGCATCGAGTCCAGCTCCTGACCTGGCACAAGACAGCCCCAAATATCAGGTATTGATCAAAGCTCTGGGCTGTCAGCTGCTTGGGGTGTTGTGCTGTTCCCCAACAGGAGTCAGGAACGCCAGCCCCTGTTGGGCAGCAGTGCACTCCCTGCCTGGTATTTTATTTCCCCCTGCTCTCAGCTGTGCTGCACGTGCAGATCTGAAAGCCTGAGTCAGTCAGTGTACCTGAACCTACGCCCTGTCACGCAGCACTGGCTCCAAGACAGGCAACCCCTGGCTGTGAGACAGGAGATGAAAGAGCTGGTTTATCTCCACGGCTGCTCAGGAGTCCTGGTTTTGTTTGCGTTCCCAGCCGGCCCAGATCACTTAGTTACTAAAGTTGAATAGAAGCCTTTGCCAAACTGTCGGCTCCTGGGTATGGCTTTAAAAAAGCATGTTTTCCTGTGGCCCCTCTTGGCTCTGCAACCTGGATGCCTGACAAAAGCACCCCTTGGGCACCCCCAGCCTTTGCGTGGCTGCAGTAAAACAGCAGCTGCTGGGAATGGGAGATGCTGCTCTGATAGAACAGGTCACGGGAGATGGGACAGCACATTTACTGGTGACAAACCACGTGGAGAAAATCAAATCCCTTCTGATCAGCCTCCTGCCGGGGAAAGGCTGGGCTGCAGAACTAACCAGGCACCCTGAGCTTCTCTGGTCCTGCACAGTGCCCTCCAAACCCCCCTGTTTCCATTGGCCAGGGGGAAGCCTGGGCAGGCAATACAAATTGCCTTTGGCAGAGGAGCAAGCAAAGGGCCCTGCTGCTCCAGGATACCTCCATGTATTAATTTGCCTATCCTTAACCAGCTTTCCATAATTCCATATACTCACCATTTCCATGCTCTGAGCCATTATGGCACAGCCAAGACAATGAAATGGATGTTCTCTCCAGACCACAGGGATCAATAAATTTAGATGGTCCCAAGAAAGAGTGATGGGTTTCTGAGCATCCCAGCTTTGCCCAGCCTTTCCTTGGCACCCAAAGTTAGAGCAAAATATCTCTGTGGCTTTGTTGGATCTGGATGGATTGTCACTGGCACACTGACCTAAAAGGTGTCATACAGGATCCTTAGAATGGGATTATTGACAGGCACAGGAGAGGCTCTTTGGAAATAAGGTTTAAACATTGCATTTTCTGCATTTCCCCTTCCCTGCCCTTGCTGGCTTCAGTCCTGGCACAGCCTTCATGGAGGGAAACTGGAGGTCTGGAAGGACACAGGTGCAAGCTGGGCTGGGGCTTGCAGACAGACCACTCATTCATGGAGAGTTTATTAAGAGAAGGAAAGGCAAAACCCTAATTAGTGCAGTGAGTGAATGAGATGCCTTGTGATCAGATACAAGGTGAATGGTAATGACTTACCTTTGCCATTGAAGGCACCTGGGGCTTGGTAATTTGCTACAGGAATGTTAAATATGGTAAATGTCTTGATTTTTAGGGGGTTAAACCATGTAAAAATTAAGTAGAAAATAATATTTGACACTAACAACTGATATGAGCATTCACAGCTCTCTCAGGGATGGGCAGACAGTCCCTTGTGTCTCGCCTAAAGCTCCTTCACACCTCTTGAATCTCCTCTAAACCAGGCTTTGCTCTCCTGCCTCTGTTTCAAGGATGCCCAAGGGTTCCCAAGGGGTGCCCAAGGGTTCCCAAGGGTTCCCAAGGGTGCCCAAGGGTTCCAAAGGGATGCCCAAGGGTTCCCAAGGGTGCCCAAGGGTTCCCAAGGGATGCCCAAGGGTTCCAAAGGGATGCCCAAGGGTTCCCAAGGGATGCCCAAGGGTTCCCAAGGGATGCCCAAGGGTTCCAAAGGGGTGCCCAAGGGATGCTGGTTCAGGATGAGCTCCCCCAGCCCCACTCTCCCTGCACTCTGGAGCTCCTCTTTATGTCAGTACAGAGGGCACTTGTTTCCAATCCCTTTATGGTCCATCCCTTGCACAGATGCAGCTCAGCTGACAATTCCCAATCCCTCCTGACCTCTCACCACAGCCTGGCGTCTCTCCCTCCGGCCTCTCCAGATGCTCTTTCTTTCCCCTCTCCTTTCACCAAAAGGCTGCTTCTCACCAGCCACATCTTCCCAGCGAGCCTAATTAGACAGGAGCCTAATTAGAGCCGAGCAGGAGCGGTGAGTCATTAGCAGAAGCCTGTGGGAAGGCCGGGAGCAGCCGTGATCCCGGCGGGGCGGCAGCGTGGGCAGAGGGGCCGGGAGGCAGCGGGAGCTCCGCTGGGTGCTGGGATGCAGCCATGGGGAAGCAGCTCCTGTTTGTGTGTGCGTGTGTAATTCCTCCAGACGTGACCCAGAAATGGAGTGAAGGGTGTTTGCCCTCCTCCCTGCACCTGCCAGGGAGCCAAGCTGGCCCCAGCGCTGCTGGGCTGGCCTCAGGGCAAGGGGATGGCCTCCATCCCACCCAGACAAAGGTAGAAACCAAAAGGGCTTTTCCTGGTGGCCCTTAGGGTTTTTTCTCCTTGTTTGGTTTCTGCTCATCCCTTTTAACAGCCAGCTATCCCCCATGATGGAGTGGAGCCAGCACCCTGGGGACTGGGGGTAAGGAGCCTTGCTGTGGTGGAGGGGAAGAGCGATGGCAGCAGTAAAGGGCAGAATTAAAATGTTTGCTTGGGATAAACCCACAGGACTGAGGAGAGGTACGATGCCAGGAGTGAGAGACAGGTCTTTCTATCAGTCATTAAATCACATTCTGGCTGTAAGTGCTTCTTCACAAGCACAAGTTGTGCCATCCTAGCCTGGTCATGGACTGTGCTCCCCAGCTTCTGCTGGGAAAGGAGAGCTTCCCAGGAGAGACAGAACTGAAAACTCACAAATTATTTGATTCCTGAGCTTTGCAGTCCTCAGGGACTGTCAGAAAGAATGAAAAGACGGGTTGAGTAGCCAGGATCAGTCCTCTTGAACCCTTCCCCCAAATCCATTTGGCGGGGAACACACAGACACAGAGGGGCCCCTGTCTGTGAGCTGCAGCCCTCAGTGGTGCAGCGTGTGCTGGGGAGCGGGAAGTGAGATGTCCAGGCACTGACAGCATCAAAGCCAGGCTTTTTCCACCTAATTGGATCTGTTATTCAGCTGAGAAACACTGAATGGATTGGGTGGGCTCTGAGCTCACAATTTCAGCGAGGAAGTCGGGACGTTGTGGCAAAGTAGGTCACAGTGCTGCAAAACAGGGTGATGGTTCTGCACAACAGCTCAGGATGTTAAATAAGGAGGTGGTGAAATGGAAAGAAAAGAGAGACTGTGAGGAAGAATAAATGAGCTCAGCCTTGGCTATTCATTCCCACTGGAAGTCCTGGTGCTGGCTCCCACCTTGGGGCCCCCAGCACTGCCCGTCCCTGGAGGGCACCAGGATCATGCTCTGCACTGGGGCAAGAGGGATTGGGCCCTGTTTAAATTCCCAGTTGGTTGCGGGGAGCTGCAGGCAAAGGTTTCTCCTGCTCTTGCAAGCTTAACTCAAACACTGCTTACAGAGCAGCATTTCCATGCATGGCATTTTGTGAGCCTGGACCATCTTCAGAGATTAAAACCTGTCTGGGTTACCTCAAGGGAAAGGATGCATGGGGAAACAGGAAAACAATTTCACGTGGGATATATTGCAAAGAGAATGTGCAATGCTGGGGCACTGATTAATGTGCAGGAGAAGATGACAAGCCATGGACACGAGGAGTTAGTGTTCTGTATAGACATGGATGAATTTGAAAACATGTTGGATAGCTGGAAAAAAAAGTGCTTCTTTTCTCCAGTTATGTGTTTAAATACCGGAGTCGGCCTCTGGATGGATGTGGGGCTCCCTCAGACACCAAA